AATGTTCAATTCCATGTTATTGAATTTTCAGTTCCATGTTATTGAATTTTCAATCACAGTTGCTATTGAATATTCAACTAAAAATTCAATGACACGGATTGATATGGACTTCACTTACATGTTATTGAAAATTCACATAGATATTTCTAACAGTGATAAGTAATTCTTATTCCGTAGAAAATTACCTTTAAAATAAGCCTAGGATTATTAAAAAGCGTTCATTATTTTAGAAGTTATTCAAATTTTTGTAAAACATTGAAAATGACGATTTTTTAAGAATATCTTGAAAAAATATTTGCCAAATGACTTCTGTGAGCTCTTATTCTTTTCAAAATTTTATCGTCTTTCAAAATATAAACCAAAAAAAATTTGAGTTTTCATAAATTTTATATTAAAAAATTTATGAAAACACATATATATATTTTGTAAAAGTTTTTTTGTCCTACCTGCACGGAAAGTATGTCATTTCGGGCACTTAAGGCGGGCGCAAAGTAACACATTACGCCCGGGAGTGGGGGAAGCGGGCGGTAAAGTATTTTCCGCCCGCTTCCCCTACCTCCGAGCGGGCGGAAAAGTATTTTGCGCCCGCTTGTTAATTATTCGATTTTCTTCATTAAAATGCGACATTTTCGACTTTCTTTTTAAGTTGACTATAGAACTGCAAATATTTTCAACTAGTTTTATTTTACCTTTAAAAATTTGCAATTTTTTTTTATTTTCTCTAAAAAAAATTATGAGACATTTGGTTTTGTTCCCATTTCGTTTATCAAAATTGTCAATTTTAAAAGTTCTTGTTTCAGTTTTGTTTAATTATTAATTACTACGTTCTAAATAAATACTATGTTTCCAGAATACATTATTTTTTTATTTCTATTTTAAAACTTCTATCATTAAGGGAGCGTTCATAAACTACGTAGCATGCTTAGAAGGAGGGGGGGTCGGCAAAAGTCTACGCTAGTCTACGTGGGGGGAGGGGGGAGATAGACTCTTACTACGTAGTTAATACATATAAACTAAAATTAATTTTGCAAACTCACTACCCGTCGCCATTGTTAAATGTTGCTATATGCCAAGAATAAAATATTTTATGCAGAATATTTGACATTGTTTTTAATTTAATTTTTAATTGTTTTTAATGCGAATATAGTTAAATATGCAGTTTGAAAAAAAACTACGTAACACACGGGGTGGAGGGGGGGGTTCAGCAAAAGTCTACGTTAGTCTACGCAGGGGGAGGGGGGGGTCAAGAAATGACCAAAATAGGTCTACGTAGTTTATGAACGCTCCCTTATAGACTTCATTCGATATAATGTTTATATAGAGCTTAATTTTTAACTAATATGAGCGTTTAATCGTGCGTGCCCTCAATGCCATACTTTCCATGCAGTTAGGACAAAAAATTATGTTCGCATCATGGGCGCAAAGGTGATTACGACTTTGGCGAAATCACCTATTTTGCGCCCTTGTTACGAAAATAACTATTACAGTTTAGGAAAAAAGTGCACCAAACCGAAATTTTGGTATCAAAAATACTAAACAGTGAAAGAAATAATTTGAAATTTAGTAAAGTTAGATTAAAATTCTTGATATTTGATATTATTATACTAAATTTCATATTATTCCTTTCACTGTTTAGTATTTTTGATACCAAAATTTCGCCTTGTCGCATTTTTTCCCTAAATTGAGAAGCACTTTTACAAAAATTAATATAATTTTCTTTCCATGCACATTACAACTTGTTACAAATCTGACTGAAATCACCTTGAAGCTTGAACAAAACCATTTATCTCTTTTCTCTTTTCATCGTTTTTTCCAGTAACCATTTTGGTTGGTTAATTTTTTGTTTGCCTAGAAAGTGTTTGTTATTATTATATTTGTTATTAACCTATTTCCATAATTAATTTTTTATTTATTTTATTTTTTATGTCTTATTTATTTTAAAATTTAAAGAAATTAATTTAATTAAATTAAATAAAAAATTACTGAAATTCTTAATTCTATTCTATTCTTTTTAACAGAAAACAAATTTACGACTGATAATAGCTTTTAAATTTTAGAATTAAGTGGAATTCACTTTGTTGGCGATTTATCCTACTCCGTGAAACTAGAAAAAGTGGAAAAATCAGGTATTAAAAAGAATTAAAATTTTTCACCTCCATGTACGAACGTGAGATAACTTTAAATCCATCCAATTCCAGCCTTCTTGCCGGGCCACTTATTTTATTATTTACAAATTAACTGTCAAACTTTCGACATAACCATTCGAACTATAAAACAACACTAACTTCAGGTGAGGACAGATTATGTCGATTATTATAATATAATAATTATTTGAATGAAATATTTTGTTAAAAATTTAAATTTCATTCACAAAGCCATTCAGAATTTCTAGTCTAATAATTTGGACGTTTTTTCAACAATTTTTTTTTCGTTCTCACTAAAAAATTCTAATTGCTTTCTCATAGAGGAAGGATTGTATTACCAAAATTTTCGATTGTGATTTTTTGACATATTTATAAATTTTTTTTCGTTATACCTAATCTTTTAGTACTTTATGTACGAATGGGCACTGCCCGTATAAATGTTCTAAATAAATTTAAAAAAATTTCGACATATTTTGACCTCCGAAGTCCAAAAAACGGATTTTGAAAATTTGTCCCGATGTGTGTGTGTGTGTGTGTGTACTAACATTACATTTGCCTCAATATCTCAGAACGAGAGAGAGCTAAAGGCCTCAATTTTTTTTAAATTGTAGGTCTCCCCGTGGACATAAAATGAGAGTATTTTCTGCCCGATTCATGAAGTATAACTATTTTTTTTGCATTTTTCATTTAGTAAAAAAACGTTTTTTTGGACATAACTTAAAAAAATGTTAGGACACTTATAAATCTTTTTCTTTAGTTTTGTAGAGTTTTTTCACACGCATCTTTTGAGCCCTAATTGAACATTTTTCGTCCATATTAACCAGAGATATTAAAATTTTAAAAATCTAAATTTTTCGAAAATAACACTTTTTTGAAAATTTTGTTGAAAAATATAAAAGAAACTTTAAACAACTTGCAGAGCATTAAAAAAGGCATCGATTGACCTATTTTTGAACCTGATTCGGTCAGAAATTATCGAATTATTGGTATTTGAAAAATCAAAAATTGTGGAAAATATAATTTTGTCAACATTCTTGTTTATGTGTAATTATTAAACTATTATAACCATCTTATAGAATATATAAAAACATATTTTTTGGACCAAGATTTAATGATTTTTAACTCTTTTATAACAATTAATTCTTATATTTCAATTATTATTATTTCTATGAGGAAGCAAAGTGTTCATGAAATGAACATTAAAATTATAAAAATGTACCACTTGGCAGCGGTTTTTTAGTTTATATAAGTTCTATCACATTTTTAACAATTTTGGTGATTTAAAATGATAATTTAGTGTTTAATATTTAAAGTTATAAATTTGAACACATTTTTTAGTTAATCTTTAAATTAAAACACTTATTTAAAACAATTCTCACAAATTCTTAATGAAAAACGAGCCGGTAATTTACCGGTATTTTACCGCAACCTTCTTTCTCTTCTTAACGTAAATTATCGGCTTTAGAACACTAATTAAATATTTAATTGAATCAAATAATATTTATTGAACTTAGTATTTGCTTAAAGTACTGAAATTATTGGTTCAAATACCATTTAATTGACTCTAATAAATATTATTTGATTCGAGTAAATATATTTATAATTTTGAGAAAAATACAGGCGACTCCTGGCGGTTATTCAGCGTAAATATTAATACATATATGCCTCGGTAAAACAGTTTTTTTATTACCACCTGTAGGTAATATGCGTAGAAGGCTACTGCGCTTCTAGCAATTTATCCGCCTTTTTCAAAACCAAATCATCCAGTACCCCCACTACTTAAATTGTACCTTCTGTTTCTAGTTTTCTTGTTTTTTGACACAACTTTCTGCTCACGTGAGTGTATGAGACATGCATGAGACTGTACCCTAAGGGTTCGACACCCTAGGGGTGCTACCTTTGCCCCAGAGCTCGGACCTAGGCCCCCGGTGCATGGTAGGAGATGGCTACTTCCCCTCTCGGGACGCAATCGATGAATGCCCCTTCAAACACCACGAGACAAAATAAAACCTTTTTCTCAATAAAATCTCCCTTTTAACAGATTTTGCAATAACGAATTTCCTAAGAGAAAATTTTTCACATGAATATTTCTTTCAGATAAATATATATATAGAGAAGAATTTTTCAACTAATTTTTACAATTATTTTCATTAATTTGATTAAACTAATTAAAAATGTTATACGAATATAGAATTTTAAATACTTCCTTAATCAAAAAAATATGTTACGATGTAGCAAGAAACAATATTATAAAGAATTTATTGAGAAAATAAAAGTATTTTTAAGATTTTATTTCGAGATGCAAGTATATAATAGTTAACTTATTAATTTTTCACAAAAATGATAAAAAGCGCGAAAACCTTAGTACTGCTCGATTCTGCATATATAAGGCAGTAGTCGTATAAAGCACAGTAAAGCAAATTAAAAGATTACTTTTCAACACAACAACGTTCATCTCATAATGTCAAGTCAAAATATAAAGGATGGGGCATGATGGGAAAATTGTAGAGAAAAAAAAATTAGTTCGATTTTGTCCATATTATATTGCCTTTGGAAAAGTAGAAAAAAAGATATTTCTTACCGAAAGCAAATTTATTTGGAAAGACGAGACCAATAATGGTTCCACTGTACCCGTGACGCCGCTACATCTATGCTCTGTTGTACAATCAAAATAAAAAGTTTTCCTTACAAATTTCAAGAATATTCTCAACATAACTCTGGGATTGCAATAATATGCATGGGGCGTCATAAGAAAAATGTAGAAAATAAAAAACTGATACAATTTAGTGTATATCTTATTCGTTTTTAACTTGTGGTTTAAAAGTTATGTATTTTTGAATAATATTCCCAAAATTAAGAGAATACCTATTTCTGAGTGGGACTGTCCAACGCTATGGGAGTTCGCTGTGCCGGCAGTCGGCATCGGCTCAGTTGCAACCAGAACGTACAACGAGAAACATCACTATGGCTGATATTTCCAAGGACGATCTTCGCAAAGAAATCACCGGTGAGTTTAAAATACCTTTGATTTACGTTGATTCTCCAATTCTAAACTATCAAATGTTAATCGATCTTTGTTATTGTACATAATTTTCAATTATTTTCGAGTGAAAAAGATAAGAAAAACACGCGCTTTACTCTTGTGAATCGAGCTTGAAAAACGTTCTATGTTCTGAGTGGCGTGCCCAACGCCGGCCATTGTACGCGAATATTCGTCTTTCATCGTTCATCAATGTAGCTCAATTATCAAACAAGTAAACTTTTTTTCGAGTACTGTGAGAGTTGGGGAATTTTTAAATTAAATTTTTCCATATTCAGGTACTTTGCCTGTTTTTCGCTGATTTTCGCTTAAAGTGAACTTTCTTAGGGCGTCGTTGTCTTTTCTCTGATATGACGCGTCTGGCGGTAGTGGCGTGCAATGAAAACGAGGCGTTTGTCTCGTAATTTTACCCTTAGAATCTCAAATTTTCTTAAAAACTAATTAGAAGTTTCGTGAAATTTTCTTATTAATTTTTTCCGTCATTGTATATTCAATAAACAAGATATTCATTGTTATAGGCATTACAGATTGCAAAAAAAGGTTATTTGACGGTTTTCTCATTTTTCCCGCCTATGTGAAATGTTGATTTGTTCATAACGTTTTTAGACAAGTAGATGTGGACTTTACAGTCGATTATTAATCGTTATTTACAATCGGAGAGTTGTATTTTCAGTGATAAATGAAATAATTACTGCGTCGCCGAGTATTTTACATTGCGCTTCCGGGTGAGCGGTTTTTCATTTTTGCTTCGAATTTATTGGTAGAAAGACGTGAATAATTGACTTGGGAGGAACGAAGTCGACAATGCAGATTTTGAGATAGCAATACGCGGCGTAGTTTGCCGCATCTCGATTTACTTTCAGACATTTTTGATTAAGAAGCGGGTCGATTGTTGACTACATCCACGGGTTGCCATCTGCGCTCAATACACCTTTTCTCTCAATTCCCGTTTCCCGCCGCATTCAGTATTATTAGTCCCTAAAGGCCAGGTAAATGCGCACTTGAACCATTTTTTGGAGCTCGATCGAATTTCAAAGCAAAAATTTTTATCTGTTTAACATATCTTTTATCAATATAACTTTGCTAAATATACTATATTTTACTTTTTTATTGATTAATTGCCATTAGATACACTTTGAATTATTATTTTTTTATTTCATTTTTTTCTCTTTTTAATTTTCCAATATTTTCATAGAATTATTTAAAAAAAATTTACTATGTATGTGTTTATTTGACTTACATGATTTTAATTTTGTTTAGCCATCCTCAAGGATGCTGATCTCTCAACAATGTCTGCCAAGAAAGTTAGACAACAAATTGAAGAGAAATTGGACATTGACCTTTCTGAAAGGTAAACATAAAAACTGATTACAAATTATGTAATTTATTATTATTATTAATATTATTTTTACTTAATTAATTAATTATATCAAAACTTTTGGAGTTACTCTTTAATCAAATATGAAATTATTTTTCTCATTTTGGAGTAACCTTAATTTTAGTCACATGGATGCTTTACTTACAATATTTGCGTTTAAATAATGCAAATAAGTGTAAAACATCCAAAATTAATTAAAGGATCTCTGTGTGAAACTGTTGAATTTTAGGTTTTCACCTCGTTCCCCTTCTAACAAATTAAGAAAAATAAAAAAAAGTTCGTATCAAAGTCATATGCACGGAGAGAAAATATATATTAATGTAAAAGTATTTTACAAATTGGGAAAAAGTGCGACAAAGCGAAATTTAAATTTTAAAATAACTACTAAATTTTACATAAATTTTTTTAAAGTTTAGTATTTTTTATATAAAAATTTCTCAATGTCGCACTTTTTCCCAATTTATAAAATACTTTAAAATTTAATATGGGACCGTGAAATTTCCACTCAAAATTTTTTTTATGAAAATAATTTTTTTCGAATTTTTATATGAAAAATAAGTAAATACCTGTTTCTTTATATTAAACTTTAAAAATATTTATGTGAAATTTAGTTAAATTATAACAAATATCAAGAATATTAATTAAATTTTAAAATAACTTTACTAAATTTTACAAAAGTTTTTTCTAACTTTAATATTTTCTATATAAAAATTTCGCACTTTTTCTCCAATTTGTAACATACTTTTACAAAATTTAATTAATATGGGGAAATTCATGAAATTTTTACTGAAAATTTTTGAATTCTGTATAAAAAATAAGTAAATACATGTTTTTTTTATTTTTTTAATCAAAATTACGGTAGTTATGATTTTTTTTAAATTTAACGTCTTCAAAAGCAGAAGACTTTTAAAACACTTTTTTCTCTGTTATAGCAAAAAAATAATATAATATATGCAAAAAATTTCTTTTTTCTAGAATATTTCAAACTTCGGTTTTAAGAAAAATCACTTTTTAGACGGAATTTTAATTTATTTAATATTTTCGCTTTATTAACGTCATTTTTTTATCACGTATTTGAAATATTTAAGAAAAAATACATTTTTTGCATATATTATATTATTTTTTGTTGTAACAGAGAAAAAAGTGTTTCAAAAGTCTTCTGCTTCTGAAGACGTTAAATTTTTAAAAAATCACAACTTCCGTAATTTTAATCAAATAGAAAAATAAAAAAATAAGTATTTACTTGTTTTTCATATAAAATTCGAAAAAAATTGTTTTACTAAAAATAAATTTCGAAATTTCACGGAGAATGCCCCATATATTAAATTTTGTAAAAGTATTTTACAAATTGAGGAAAAAGTGCGACAAAGCGAAATTTTGATATAAAAAATACTCAGCTTTAAAAAAATTTATGTGAAATTTAGTCAAATTATATCAAATATCAAGAATATTAATTAAATTTTTAAATAACTACTAAATTTCACATAAATTTTTTAAAATTTTAGTATTTTTTATATAAAAATTTCACTTTGTCGCACTTTTTCCCTAATTTGTAAAATACTGTTAAAAAATTTAATATATATTCTCTCCGTGTGTATACAAATTTTGTAAACATTAAATTTCTTTCGAAAATATTTATTTGCAAAATAAATGTAAAACTATCCTGACTTTTTAAATTATAAAATTCTACTTCTGATATCGAAACATTAAAATTTAACTTCGCAATGTTTCTGGTGAGTTTATGTAACGAAATAATTTGAAATTCATTATTGAATCGAAATTATTTTTTACATGAAATTTAAATGATAAAATTTCGTTTTTTAAAGTAGTATTTGTTATTTTTTTTAGGAAAAAGGAAGTGGACGATTTAGTTATGGAATGCTTGCAAGAGAAAGACGACGGTGGCAAGAAGAAGAAGAAGGCCGCCAGTGAGGAGTCTGAAGATGGCGAAGAAGAGGAAGATGAAGCCTCCGAGGAGGAAGAGGAAGAGGAGGAGAAGAAGCCCGCCAAGAGAGGTCCTCCCAAAAAGGCAGCTAACAAACGCAAGAAGGGATCATCTGACGATGAGGAGAGTGCAAGTGACGAAGACGCTAGTGACGAGGAATATAGTCCAAAGAAGGGCAAACCTTCTCCTAAAAAAGGTAAGGCAAAGAGTTCTTTTGTCCAAAGTAGAAACCTAGTAAGTTGGGCATTTGTCGTAAGGTTGAAAGTCGCTTACAAAAGTAAGCGACTTTCAACCTTACGACAAATGCGCGACTTACTAGGTTTTTATTTTCGACAGCAGAGTTTATAATAGCTTTCTAATTTCTAATTTTCAAATAATTAACTTATAAACTTGTTTCGTGAAAAATTCTGTGAAAATTCAAATAATTAACTTGTTTCGTGAAAAATTCTGGAAAAAATCGAATAATTAACTTATTTTTGTAAAAAAAAAACAGGAAAAACAGCTAAGAAGGGAAAGAAGAAGGGAAGCGACAGCGACAGTGATGAGGATTGGGGAAAGAACAAAAAGTCTGGTGGAGGTGGTGGTGGTGGCGGCGGCGGCGGTGCTGCTGCGAAAAAGGGAGCCAAGGGTAAAGGTGGTGGTGGATATACCCGGCCAATCACGCTCTCACCAGAATTGGCTGCCATTGTCGGTGCCGAGGAAATGGCTAGACACCAAGTTGTTAAAAAGGTCTGGAGCATCATCAAAGAGAGAAATCTCTACGTAAGTATCAACTTTTTTAGATTTCTAATTAGGAAAAATTAATATTTGCAAATTAAAAATTTCTCTTTCAATAAACTAACATTATTATTAATTCTTTTAGGATCCCAAGAACAAGCAATTCGCCATCTGTGACGATGAGTTGATGAAGGTAATAGGAGTGAAACGTTTCAGGACCTTCGGTATGATGAAGTACCTCAAAAATCACTTCGTAGATTAAATCAGTAGATTAAGTCAGTCTCCGACAAATTAAATTGTACAACTTAATTCCGCGATGCGATTCCGCAATTATAATATCTGGCAGTAAAGTATCTCGCGGATAATCCCATTCACATATACACACACACCTCTTTTACAAGTTTTGATGAAATCCGTTTGTGCGATTGATTTTTGCCCATCATTCACTACAAACGGTTTTTTTTTATATCTTCACTCTTTCTCTCTTTCTCTTTGACCGACGTTTATTTTTTATCAAACTTGCATTTGAAACGTTTCGATTGTGTATGGTACGCCACTCGCGACATCCCTTTTTTTCTACTTTTTAAAATGAGTCAAATCTTTAAACGCTGCACCAGTTGCTTTTTTTTATTTAAAGACAAAAAAAAGATTTGACGAGTTTTGAATTTATTTTGTATAAATGGTTTTGTTTGTTTCTTGATATCTGAATTTTGGTGCGATGAATTTTAATTCTTTGATAAACTTTTTTTCAAATGTTGATAATTTTTTTTTACATACATTTGTCGTACTGAATGTTCTTTTACAACTGATTATTATGAAGTTGAAGATGATAATGAAAAATGTAATGGTTTTTGAGAAAATGAAAGCGGAATCCTGAAATCATGCAGAAAAGTGATTACATTGAAGAAGATAATTCTTTTTATCTTTTTTGTATAATAGTTACAGTGGCACACTGAAATTACAACTAAGCGAGGATTAATTGTATTAACATGTAATTACTAATTATTGTCGTAAAGTAGGTTTTTTCGGTGTAAAAAATTTACCTAAGGATTTAAGGCTTAGTACTGAAGTGGTTGTTTCTCGGTACAAAGTTATCGAATTAAAAGTGCGAGTTTTGTCTGCACTTCAACTTGTGTAGAACTTGTGTCGTTTCAGATATAAATTTTACTTTTAAGTTTTTGCCTAAATTCAATGAGTGTCACGGGCATCAATGGTAAATATTAAACATTAACAAAAAGAATTATTAAAGTCGATCTTTTTTTTAAAAACAAAAACAAACAAAAAACCCTTTTATCGAATTTTTTCAATTTCAATCAATATTTAAAAAAGTTGACGAAATTTCAAGTTTTAATGAAATTTTACAGATGCATGTAAAATTGCATCGCTCTCTATTTAAAGTAAAATTTTATCCTATCACAAATGAAGATAAAGGGTTTTTGGAAACAATATTTCATGAAAGAAGAAATAAAAGTCATTAGTTATATTTTGTCAACATTTGGTAAACATATATATATATATGCGTATCAAAATAATTAGTTCTTCAGTTTAGTTACATATCTTCAAAATTTTTGAGTATTATGTATGAAATATGTTTACTCTAAATACATAGTAACCATAGCCTCGTAAAAATAAACTCTTAAAAATTTTATGTTCTCTATACAAAAAATTATGCATTTTACAATTACAAATCTGTATATTGTTCATGAGTGTACTTGATTTTTGTGTCTTATTAAAGTCATTGCTTTCATTTTTTTAAGTGTGCGTTTATTTCGTTTTAACCTAATTTTTTTACAAAAATAACGTCACATTTGTTTTTAAAAAAATTATAAAATTTACATGATGAATTAAATTTTCTTTCATAGATCCAATATTGAATTTTGTCAATATACATACATATATATCAGGGCTCGAACTAGGTCCGTAAATTTGCTTGAAGTCCGTAATTTGATTGAGGAACAGCGAAAAGTTCGTAAATTCTACAATATAATTTGGAGAATTTTACAGAATTTACAAATGAATGCAGAAATTCAATTATTTTTAAAAGTAATAAAATTCTTGGCAAAATTTCAATTATTTTCAAAAACTTTCCTCAATTCAATGATTTTTAATATATTTACCATATTTACTATTTTTAAAAAATTGTCCACAAAAGAATTCAATTATTTAAAAAAAATTAAATCAAATTCTACGCAAACATTAATTATTTTCAAAAAATAATAAAAATTTCACTGGAATTCAATTATTTACAAATTTTTTATAAATTACTTCGCAATCATTCAATTATTTTCATAAATAATAAAACTCATTGCAGAATTTCAATTATTTTTAAAACTAATAAAATTCTACGTTCAAAAATTTTTAAAAATTCTCGTCAAAATTTCAATTATCTTTAGAAATAATTAAATTCTTCTTCAAAATTCAATTATTTTCAAAAATTTCCCTCAATCAATGATTTTCAATATTTTACTATTTTAAAAAAAATTACCCAATAGAATTCAATTATTTAAAAAAAATTAAATAAAATTCTACGCAAACATTTAATTATTTTCATAAAATAATAAAAATTTCACTGGAATTCAATTATTTTCATAAATCATAAAACTCATTGCAGAATTTAAATTATTTTTAATACAATTTTAATCGAATTCGTCGAAAAATTTTATTAAAATTCGTCAAAAGAACTTAATTATTTAAAAATTTTATTAAAATAATATACTTGTATACTTGTTAAATAAATAAATAAATAAAAAATTGGTTAAAAAAATTCAATTATTTAAAAATTTATTGATAAAATATTCTTTATGAGAATTCAATTTTAAGAAATAAGCAATAATTCAATAAATTGTTTTTTTTGTATGTAAATGATTGAATTCTAGTAGAATTTTTAAATAAAAATTGATTTAAAAATGGATTTCAATTATTAAATTTTGAAAATGTTTCAAATTAAAAAATCTTTGAGAATCTGAATTTTTCATATTTTTGACTAACAATTCTGTGGAATTAATTTTTTTGAGAAAGTTTAATTGCCGATTTTTGTTGAAATTATTTCAAGTTTTTATTTTCTAATATATATTTAATTGAAGAATTTACGAATAATTTAAATTTTTTAAAATTTAATTAAATACAAATAAAGAAAATACTTAAAGAACTTTTTCAAAAATTATTAAAAATAATGCATTTATAGAAGAATTTTATTCAAAAACACAGAAAAAAATTTAATTTTGGAAAAGTTACAAATTATTGTATAAATTTAATTATTTTCAAGAGTAATAATATTCTTCGCAAAAATTAAATATTGCTCAAAAATAATAAAAATTCTTCTTATGGATTCAATTATTTTCTCAAATAATAAAACTCATCGTAGAATTTCAATTATTTTTAATTCAATTTTAATCAAATTCTTCGAAAAATGTAATTATTCTTAAAAATTTTATTAAAATTCGTCGAAAGAATTCAATTATTTAAAATTTGTTGATAAAATTCTTTATGAGAATTCAATTTTAAGAAACATTCAATTATTCAATAAATTATTTATTTTTGTATTTAAATAATTGAATTCTCGAAGAATTTTCAAATAAAAATTGATTTAAAAAAAAATTTTAGATAATAATTGAACATTAAAAGCAATATAGCGTGAATTTTAAGAAATAATTGAATTTTGAAATTAATTTTTTTGAAAAAGTTTAATTGAATTTTGTTATATTATTTGAAGTTTTTATTTTCTAATATATGTGGACGTCCACATGAAAAGGGCCCATTTTGGCACTATTGGAGTTATCTATATGGGCGTATTTCTGGCAAAATTTGGAAAATTTTGAGTGGTCTTAGAACTTTTTTGGTTAAAAATTCGCTGAGTTACGAAATTTCAAAGTTTAGAACGCCACAAACCTCATTTCGAGAAAAACGGAATTAAAGATTGCGATACCAACTAATTGTTGTATCTCTGGTTCTTCTTGGAAGTTAATCAGATAAGAATTGTTTCCAGTTCAGGGCACCTTGAAGATGTAAATCAACAGGTTTTAAATTTTTAAAACCATCCCCTCTCTTAATTTTCAAAAATTTCGTACTTAAGTACTAAAAATCGACAATATGGGCCCTTTTCTAAAAAGGAGAATTTTTCTATTAAAAAACCATTTTTTACAAGATTAATGATTAGGTACAATTTTATTGTGTCATTTGAAGAAAAAGAATAGATATTACACTTATTAAAAATTTTTTGACAGTCTCTATTATGAAAAAATTGACGCAATATTCAAATTTTCGAAAATTACAAAAAAAAAGATTCTAACTTCAATATCTCTGGTTCTTCTCGGAAGTTATTCAGATAAGAATTGTTTACAGTCCAGGACACTTTAGAGATGAAAAATCGAGAGGTTTTAAATTTTTCTACACCTCCATTTTTAAAATTCGGATTACTTTTGAAAATGACCGACAAAATGGGCCCTTTTTATTTTTCTAAAGAACCAATGAAATCAAACAGTTAAATTATCGATAAATTAATGAAAACCGCATGATTCGACTTGTCAAAACATGTAGATTGACAATAAAAAATAAAAAAAAATTAAGATTTTGCTCCAAAATTACTAAATTGCGATTATCTCGAAAACTGGAACCGACAATATGGGCCCTTTTCATGTGGACGTCCACATATGAAGAATTAACGAATAATTGAAATTTCGTAAAATTGAATATTGTAAACAAATGAATTTGAAAATTGTCAAAGAACTTTTTCGAAAATTATTAAAAAGAATTGATTTAAAGAAGAATTTTAGTTAAAAATTCTTGAAAATAATAATTGTATTGATAATGATTTTATCACTCGGTCATTAATTATTATAAAACATGAAGAAACGATCTCTCGGAGTTATCGATATCTTCTTGTTTTATAGTTACGAAAAATTCAATTTGTAGTTTTAAGTAAAATGTTCTCTTATTTGACTCGGACTGGTTATAATTTTGTCTGTAATCGGTCCGTAATTTTTAATTTTTGGTCCGTAAAGTCTGAATTTTTGAATACTTCCACTGGTTCGAGCCCTGAAAACATAACTAAAAATTTGTTAAAATTCATCAGAAGAAAAGAAGTTAAGCTGTTAAGATGAGGTTTGGCATTTTTGAACGGCTTTCAAGTTGAGGTTTTACGTTAAAATGTTCATCATTTGTCAAAATCATCTTCGACAATGGTAAAAACGTGTTGAGCATCATCACGCCGACCCCGCAAACCAAAAACATAAGTTTGAATTTTTTTTGTGTTTGTGCTATTTTCCTTTCTTGTTTGAACTTGTTGATTTTTAGATGGTTCTGCTTGACTCTCATTTCCACGTCTGAAGTATGATTTTTTTGTTTGCGTACTTCTTGTTGCCAATTTACAAATTGTCGCCTAAAATATAAAAATGTATTCTAAATTCATTAGAATATAATGTTATACTTAAATTTTTTTTTATTTAAAAATAATAATATTGTTAAGTCGCCATAGTAACGGATTGGTAAATCCTTAATGATAAATCGTCCAAGCGCCCATCCTGCCGGAAGGACGTTCCGGAAAAAAGGCTTTTAAAAAAAGGGAATTCAACTTTTCTTTTCTGGCACTCTTTGGGGTTAAAGTAGACGAAAAGACAAAAAAATCCATATTTTTGACTTTTTAAAATAATAATTTAAACCATTTTTCAAAGCCTTCAAACTTGCTATGTTTTTAAACAGTGAAAAAAACATTTTTTCGTAAATTTAATGTAAAATCCCCAAAAATCATTATTTTTTGACCGGACAAGTCTCTTTCTCTTCAGAAACGTTCCAAGAATGAAACCTAATTGTTCAATTAAAAAAAAATTCATTTTTAATATTGTTCAGTATATCTGAGTAATACTCAGGCGCGAGTCCCTTCGAAATTGCTCTATAAAATTAATATGGAAGCAGATAAATATAAAACTAAATATATCGTTGGAAAGGTAATGAAACAAGCTTTCAAATGATGTAAATATCGAGTCTTTAAATTTATAAACCTGGGCTAGGCAGTCTCTTAAATAAAGCGAAAAGCGTCCTGCCGGCAGGACCGGGCTTCGTCATTCTGTGACTAAAAATTATGTGAATTTTTGGAACATGTAACTTCTTCAAACTACCCAGCCCTTAGTTTTGAACTTACAAGCTCGATATTTATATGCGCTGAAAGCTTGTTTCGTTACCTTTCCAATGATATATATCATTTTTTATTTATCTGGATCCATGTTAGTTTTCTTTAGTGATTTCGGAGGGACTCACCTGAGTCTTTTTCGTCCTGCCGGAAGGACGTTGGACGATCTATCATTAAAAACTTAATAAAGGCCGTAGCAGTATAAGCATGTAAAAATGGCCCCCTCTTGGATTGGGTCCATATTTAGGGAATAATTTTGACCTATTATGAGACTTATTTTCACCAAGTTTCAACTCGAAAAAAAATTTTGTTTTTGAGTTATACAATTTTTTTGAAAAATTCAAAAAAATTCAAAAATTTTTTTTCCCTCCGAAATGGTTGAACCGATTTTCATGAAAAAATTTTTTTTGTACAATACAATATGAACAGTTAATAAAAAAAAATTTTTCGACCAAATTCTAACAAAGAAAGTCAGTAAAAAGTCAGTAAAAAAAATTTTTTTTAAATTTTTTTTTTAAAAACATTTTTTTTTTATTGAAATTTTTTTTGCACAACCGCCATTTTTTTTCTATAAAATAATAGTCATTTCAAGAGTAAGGGTGCAATCCCATTACAGCAGAATACGTAGACCGAAAACAGAAAATCATGAGTCCGAAAGAGATAGATAGATATTGTTGTTCTTTTCACTCTCATAATTTTCTGCTTTCGGTCGACGTATTCTGCATTCATGGGATCGCACCCTAACATATATTTTTTGCAAGATGATTGAAAGGGTACTTCATACTTTAAAAAATAAAAAACCGATTTTTGGCCCCTAAATAGTACAGTTTTCTATATAAACGAGGGGCCAACATTTTTTAAAATTACATTACAAATTAATTAATACTTAAATTAAATTTCTAAAAAGTTAATAATATATGCCTGTTTATTGTAAATATTGATTTTTTAGTCAACTTTTCAAAAAAATTTACAAAAAAAAAATTATTTTTGAAGTTTTTTCAACTTTGGCATATTTTTTAATAATTGTAGAAGAAATTTGAAATTTACATAGGTTTAAGTTTTATCTTTAACTTAAGACCAAAAGAGTTTAAAAATCTTAATCGGTTCGTGAGATCCCAATATATATAGAAAATATCTACTGCTTTGATTCAAAAATAATATTTGTTTGAATAATTGTGTTTAATTCAAATATATTTTCTGTTTTGGTTTAAACAAAGAATATGTTTAAAAATGTTATGTTTGATCCAAACTTAAATATTGATTAGAAATAATTTAAAATCAACCTTAAATTTTGTTTGAATTGAATATATTATTTCTATAAATGAACCAAAAAATATGTTTGAATTAAACTGAAATTTGTTTGACTGTATAGCAAAGATATTTTAAGTTTGATTTAAACAAAATTTTTTTGAATCAAATAAATCGTTTTCTCAGTGATTGACATGTTTTTGGGCCGTGCGCGTGTAGCCGTACCGGTAATTCCCGACGGTAGTGTACGTCCATTTACTTTTTTAATAAACCTTGTACATACTAAAAAATCAATATTTAAAATAAACAGGCATATATTATTAACTTTTTTAGAAATTTAATTTAAGTATTAATTAATTTTTAATGTAATTTTAAAAAATGTTGGCCCCTCGTTTATATAGAAAACTGTACTATTTAGGGGCCAAAAATCGGTTTTTTATTTTTTAAAGTATGAAGTACCCTTTCAATCATCTTGCAAAAAATATATGTTACTCTTGAAATGACTATTATTTTATAGAAAAAAATGGCGGTTGTGCAAAAAAAATTTCAATAAAAAAAAATGTTTTTTAAAAAAAAATTAAAAAAAAATTTTTTTTTACTGACTTTTTACTGACTTTTTTTGTTAGAATTTGGTCGAAAAATTTTTTTTTATTAACTGTTCATATTGTATTGTACAAAAAAAATTTTTTCATGAAAATCGGTTCAGCCATTTCGGAGGGAAAAAAAATTGTATAACTCAAAAACAAAATTTTTTTTCGAGTTGAAACTTGGTGAAAATAAGTCTCATAATAGGTCAAAATTATTTCCTAAATATGGACCCAATCCAAGAGGGGGCCATTTTTACATGCTTATACTGCTACGGCCTTTTCTGTCTCGCAATTCAATATGTATTATTGCTTATACAAAACTTTTAAAGGTTTTATAATTGCTTTTTCATAGAAAGAATCAAGAGTGAATTGTGATTTTGGTTTTTCTCAGTAAATCAGTTTTTTTTAAAAAAAAGCTCCGTAAAGTCCGTAGTTTGATTGAAAAAGGACGAAAAGTTCGTAAATTGTGCGATATAATTTTGGAAATTTTTAAAAAGTTAGAAATGATTGCAGAAATTCAATTATTTTCAAAAATTTTTTTAAATTCTCGTCAAAATTACAATTATTTTTATATAAATAATAAAATTCTTCTCTAAAAGTCAATTATTTTCAAAAAATTTTTTTAAATTCTTGGCGAAATTTCAATTATTTTTCAAAATAACAAAATTTTCAGCGGGAATTCAATTATTTTCAAAAACTATTATCTTTCAAAAATTATTTAAAAATATTTTTAAAAAATTTATTGTAAGCATTTTTTTATAATTTTTTGAAAACATTATACCTTAATAACTTAAGAAAAAATTATGAAGAGTTACAATTATTATAAAAAAATCAGTCAGAGAAGCAGGCGCAATGCGCCTACATCATAGGGTTTCGTGGCCTAAAATGACAAAAAAATAAATAATAATTTATTTAGAAATTTTTTTGTACTTAAGATTGAAATTTTTTTTTATTATCATAGTAACGGTTGCCATGGCAACGGTTGTAATGGGAACCATTAACATAGCAACGATTACCATGGCAACGGTTGTTATGTTGTCTTAAGACTTATAAGACTTTAGACTTAAGACTTAGGACTTAAGACCTTCTTATACCGAAGTCTCGCTATAAGACTTAAGACTTATTACATAAGACTTAAGACATAAAAACTACGGACGGACACCGAAGTCTCGCTATAAGGGTTTTGGCCCTTGGCCACGAAACCCTAAAAATTGAGTTTTTGTATTTAAATAATTGAATTCTAGAAGAACTTTTGGAAAATTATTTAAATCAATTGATTCAGAGATGAAGTAAAATTGCAAAAAAGCGTTACGTAATTAAAGTATGACCCCTTTTATATAAATTGAAATTTACTAATTTTAGAGCATTTCTTCTATAATCCCAAATATTAGATGAATAATTATTGTCGATGAAAGAGGACACAGCATGCAACTCGGTCTGAACTTCTTGATCTTGTTGGACTGTCAGCAGAGATATATCAGTAGTTAATCTGAAAAGAAAGAATTACAATATTTCCATTAATTTAACACAATAAAATAAATAAGTTTTTTTTATACATTTCTTGATTTTTTATAGCCTCCACGTCGTTGTAGATTTGGAAAAGATACACATGTTCCGGATGTTTGCGTATAAAATCAAAAATTTCAATTAAACACCTAAAATGAAAATTGAAAGATTAAATATTAAAATTTCAAATAATTATCGTATTTTTCAGTTGGTTTCAAGATTTACAAACTTGTTTGGATTTTTTCCAAATTCACGGGCTGCTTCCAAAGAACTGAAGGCGAAATACTTTCCCTTCCATTTAGCAACTCCAATGTTAGGATTTCCTGGTAAAAGAAATCCTTTACCTTGCACAAATGTCCAGGCGCAAAATCCAATGAACTAAAGATAATTTTACATAATAATCAGAGCTGCACTATGGAACATATTCTCAAAATTGTGGTCAAAATTCAAATTAAATTTAAAATTACATGAATATTGATGTACTAACAATCATTGAATTCTTGCAAAGTATTTGTAAAAAAATTTGAAAATAATTGACTTCACTTCGAGAATTTTATCAACATTTTTTTCAATAACTGAATTCTTTCGAGAAAATGTAATTAAAAATTGTATTGGAAATAATTTAATTCTTGGCAAGATTTTTCTTAAAATTCATTGAAATAATTAAAAATTGTTTTAAAGAATTTATTTCAATATTCTTGAAAATAGTGGAGTTTTTTAAAAATAATTTTTACTGAAAATTTTGAAAATAATTGAATTTTAATAAGAATTCAATTATTTTCAATAATTGTAATAAAATTCTTTGCAAAAAGTCAATTTATAAATAATAAAAATCTTCGTAAAAAATTTAATTATTTTTAAATAAATAATACCTAAAATTGTTATCAGGACTTCACTTATTTTCAATACAATTTTAATTGATTTCTTCGAAAATTCAATTATTTAACAAAAAAAATGAATTTTCTCAAGAATTCAATTAATTTAAAAAATACTTTTAATAAAATTCAATTTAAGAATTTAATTATTTTCATAAATAATATAAGTTTCGCTGGAATTTAATTATTTTAAATACAGTTTTATTGAAATCCAGGAAACATTATATTATTTTTATAATTATTCTTCGTAAGAATTCAATTATATCAATAAAAAATAAATTTTTCTCAGACATTCAATTATTTTAAATACAATTTTCATAAAATTCTATTAAAAAATTCACTTATTTTTTGAAATTTTGCAAAAATTCAATTATTTGCAGAAATAGTACATTTTTTCGCAGGGATTCAATTATTTCAATAAAATTCTATTCAAGAATTCAATTATTTTCAGAATTCTTGTAAAGTATTTTAAAAAAATTAAATATAATTGAATTCATTTCAAGAATTTTATCAACATTTCTTTAAATAATTGAATTCTTTAAAACAACTTTATTAGAGTTTTTGTAAATAATTACATTTCTTTTTGACTAATTTCATTAAATTTCGTAAAAATAATGTATAATGTTTTTAAATAATTTTAAATTGAAAATTTTGAAAATAATTGAAATTTACAAAGAATTTTATTAAAAACTTTTGAGAACAATTGAATTATTTAGAAAAATTTTATTACAATTTTTTAAAATAATTGAACCTGTTAGAGATATTTTATTAAAATTATCTTCAATATAATTGAATTTTTTCATGTAAATTTTATTAAAATTGTATTGAAAATAATTGAATTTCTCAGAAGAATTTTATTATTTACAAAAATGATTGAATTCTTGCCAAGAATTTTACAATTTATAAAAATAATTGAATTGTTTCCAAGAATTTTATCAGAATTATTGTTGAAAATAATTGAATTTAAAATAATATTTTTAAAAATAGCTTTTGACAAATTTTATTTAAATTGTATTGAAAATAATTGAATTCCTCTAAAACATTTAATTATTTATGAAAATAATTGGATTCCTTTGAAGAATTTTCTTATTTATGAAAATATTTTAATTCTTGCGAAGAATTTTCTTATTTTTGAAAATAATTGAATTTTTGCGGAGGATTTTACATTTTATAAAAACAATTAAATTATTTCAAACAATTTTAGCTGAATTTTTTAGAGCAATTGGATTTTTTTAAGGAATTTTCTTTAAAATTTCGAAAATAATAATTTTTAAAAGAACTTCATTAAAATTGTTGAAAATAATTGAATTTATTTAAAAATTCTTGAAAATAATCGAATTTCATTAATTTTTTAAAAATCAATTATACTCTTTCGAGAAATTTAAGTAAAATTGTATTGAAAATAATTGAATTGCTCTAAAGAATTTTATTATTTATGAAAAATAATGAAATTCTTGCGAAAAATTTTATTAAAATTTTTGAATAATAAACAAGAATATTTAATAATAAGTGATTTCTTTAAATTTTGAATCAGTAATCATTCAAAAATTGAAAATATAAAATTTTTTAATTTACAAAATTCAGTTGTTAAAATCAAGCATAACAAAAATATGTTCATGCGCTTGAAATCATCTCTGCGGTCCTCAGCAAAGGGTTAATTATTGATTAATTCTTGCATTAAGTTTGATTAATTAATTAATTTACTATAAATTGTAACAATAGCTTTCAAATTACCTTATTTTAATAAATTCAACTGGAAATGTAAACAAAATTTACCTCTAAATTAATCTTTTCAAAATCCTTCACAGAGTTTGGATAATAAAGTTCGCATTCTTCACATTCGGCTAAAATGGAAAGAATCCGTCAGGAGTTAAACTTGAGCTTTTTCTAATTTTTCAATGTTTTAAGCAACACATTTTTTATTATATTTCTGTTTTTATTTGCTAATGTGATTAGTCAATCATAACCTACTTATTAGATATCCCATAGATTTCTCTAATCTTTCAGCGTCGGATAAAACTTGGACGTCTTGTATCATATTGTTCAAAAGACATTCATCATCTACACTCATAATCTGAAAACGGAATTTTTCACAATGTTGTATTTTTATCACTATATAATGCCCAATATTTATAATATTCAATTAAAACAGTGCAACAATAAATTTCTTTTTACATAATTATATAGAATTATGTACCTTCGTATAAAGACACTGTAGTTGCCAAAGAAAACGGTTAATGTTGCTCAGCACTATCACCTCGTCCTGAAAATTCATCCAAATATCTGCCAAGTCTACAAACTGCGGCTAAGAGCAAAATATATTAAATATTATTTAACCAAATTTTAATTAGGTACTTTCATTGATGATTTTTAATAAAATTATTATTTAACCGAAAACTTTTAACATCATAACAAAAAAGTAACTTTTCATAAAATAGTAATTGTATCAATTTTTTTTGTTTTATTCTGACCATTCTGACTCACGTAAACTTGGGACGTTGGAATTGCTGTTCTGTAACGAACTGTTTCGTGAAGTTTGATAAATCGATTTTGAAGTCGCTCCAAAATGTTTTTGAAATCATTTTCAGAATGTTCAATATCGCAAAGAATTTTTCTATATACAAATTTGGTAAGCAAATATGCAGTTTTTCACATATATCAATAAATTACTATACTAATACTCATTAATACTCATTAATTTAGCCAAAAAATTGCAACAAACTTACAGGGCTCGAGCCAGTGAAAATATTTAAAAATACGGACTTTACGGACCAAAAATGAAAAATTACGGACCGATTACTGACAAAAATATAAGCAGTCCAAGTCAAATAAGAAAAAATTTTACTTAAAACTATAAATAAAATTTTTCATAACTATAAAACATAAAGAAATCAATCGGTAATAATCGGTATCTTCATGTTTTCTAATAATTCAAAATGACCGCGTGATAAAATCATTATTTTACATTATAAGAATATTGTAACTGCAACTTCTTCAAAATTACTTTCATTATTTCAATTCAATTATTATTTTCTACAATTTTTAACCAAAATTCTTCTCTAAATTTAATAATTTTCGACAAAGTTCTTTTTACGAGAATTTTCAAATCCATTTCTTTACAAAACAATTTAACGTGAAATTTCGATTTTATTTGGAAATTCTTCAATTAAATATATTGAAGAAAATAAAAAAACCGCTGCCAAGTTGTACATTTTTATAATTTTGGTGTTCATTTCATGAACACTTTGCTTCCTCATAGAAATAATAATAATTGAAATATAAGAATTACTTTTTATAAAAGGGTTAAAAATCATTAAATCTTGGTCTAAAAAATGTGTTTTTATATATTCTATAAGATGGTAATAATAGTTTAATAATTACACATAAATTAATAAACAAGAATGTTGAAAAAATGATATTTTCCACAATTTTTGATTTTTCAAATACCAATAATTTCATAATTTCTGCCCGAATCAGATTCAAAAATAGGTCAATCGAAGCGTTTTTTAATGCTCTTCAAGTTGGTAATAATTTTTTGAAGTTACTTTTACATAATTTAAAAAAATTTTTATAAAAGTCTTATTTTCCAAAATTTTTTATTTTTAAAAGTTTAATATCTCCGGTTAATATGGACGAAAAATGTTCAATTGGGGCTCAAAAGATGCATCCGAAAAAACTCTACAAAACTAAATACAAAAGAAAACTAAACTTCTACATTTTTTAACAAAATTTTTAAAAAAGTCTTATTTTCCAAAATTTTTTATTTTTAAAAGTTTAATATCTCCGGTTAATATGGACGAAAAATGTTCAATTAGGCCTCAAAAGATGCGTGTGAAAAAACTCTACAAAACTAAAAAAAAAGATTTATAAGTGTCCTAACATTTTTTTAAGTTATGTCCAAAAAAACGTTTTTTTACTAAATGAAAAATGCAAAAAAAAAATAGTTAAACTTCATGAATCGGGCTGAAAATACTCTCATTTTATGTCCCCCGGGGAGACCTACAATTTTAAAAAAATTGAGGCCTTTAGCTCTTTCTCGTTCTGAGATATTGAGGCAAATGTAATGTTAGTACACACACATACACATCGGGACAAATTTTTAAAATGCGTTTTTTGGACTTCGGAGGTCAAAATACGTCGAAATTTTTTTTTATTTATTTAGAACATTTATACGGGGAGTTCCTGTGCATATATAAAGTACTAAAGTATTAGGTATAATAAAAAAAAATTTATAAATATGTCAAAAAATGACAATCCAAAATTTTGCTAATACAAAGCTTCCTTTCTGAGGAAGCAAAATCAAATTTGTTATTTTTGAAAATAATTGAATTTTTGCGAAGAATTTTGTTATTTATAATGATAATTGAATTCTTGTCTAGAATATTGTATTACATTTTTCAATAATAATTGAATATTTTTGCAAAGAAAATTATGAAAAGTTTAGAAAATAATTGAATTTCTGTGAAGAATTTTATGTAGTGTTTGAAAATAATTGAATCATGTTAAAAATTTTGTTATTTTTGAAAATAATTGAATTTTTGCGAAGAAATTTGATATTTATAATAATAATTGAATTCTTGACAAGAATTGTATTACAATTTTTAAAAATAATTGGATTTTTTCGAAGAATTTTGTCCTTTTTAAAAATAATTGAATTCTTACGAAGAATTTCGTAATTTATATAAAATAATTGAATTCTTGTCAAGAACTTTATTAGAAGTTTTAAAATTAATAAATTTTTTGTGATGAATTTTATGATAATTTTTGAAAATAATTGAATTTTTGATAAAAATTTTGTTATTTTTTAAAGTAATTGAATTTCTGAGAAGAATTTTATAAAAAATATTTAAAATTAATTGAATTCCTGCGAAGAACTTTAAAAAAAATTATATGTAGAATTGAATTCCTGTGAAATTTTTATTGTTTAAAAAACAATAAAAATTTCACAGGAAGTCAATATTCTTCATAATTTTTTTTTTTAAATTCTACGTAATAACTCTATTACTTTAATAAATAATAATAAATAACGAAATTCTTTAGAAAAATTAAATTATTATTATCATGAAGAACAAAGTTCTCCTATGAAAATATAGTTAAATGTTTACGTAGAATTTTATTAAAACATTTTTTGAATAATTGAATTTTTTTGGAAAATTTTTTTAAAATAGATATTGAATTGAGGGAAATTTTTGAAAATAATTGAAATTTTGCTAAGAATTTTAATAAATTTTTTGAAAATAATTGAATTTCAGAGAAGAATTTTATTATTTATATAAAGATAATTGGAATTTTGACGAGAATTTAAAAAAATTTTTGAAAATAATTGAATTTTTGTGAAGAATTATTGTATTACTTTTGAAAAAAATTGAATCTTTGCAATCATTTCTAACTTTTTCAAAATTTTCGTCTTTTTTCAATCAAATTAAATTAAATCAATTAAATTAAATATTTTTCAAAAAGACTGACTTTTATGGACTTCAAACAATTTTAAAATGTTATTTTGTAGCAAGTGACAAAATGTTCATTTGTCAGAAGCTTGCAGTGTAAACTTGCACAACTTACGTGGTAAGCATATACTGCAAGTTAACTGCAAGTTTTTTGGCTGATTGTGTAACTTCTAATTTTCGTTTTAGATTTTTTATTAAAAATTGTCAACCTGACGTATATTTCTTGCTGGCGAAGGGACGCGAGCATTTGAATGGACCATTGTATATCGCTATCTGTAATGGAATTCGTAAATTTTTTATCACTACCGGAGGAAAATTTCTCATAATCGGAAAGTTCAAGATGAAGGACATTTTCCACTGCAGAAGTAAACTTGTAGATTCGTTGCATAAGTTGCTCCAAAAGTTCCATTATTGATGATTGAGTTTTCTTTACAGCTTCTTGCAAAATGCTTGGCACTGACAGAAAGTGAACATTTTTTTATTATTTTATCATCAAAGTAATTGAGGCCTTGGATCGAATAACTCGCCCGACGCTCGGAGGAACGCGCAACTGCCAGTCAGTGAGCAGTGAGCGCCTCTGGGCCACTCACTGCTACCCGACTGGTATTAGCGCGTGCCTTCGAGCGTCGGGCGAGTTATTGGATCCAAGGCCTCAATTTATTTAAAAAGTAAATCACTTAAGATTTACTTTATAATAATTAAAGGAGACCTGGTCGTAATAAACAATATTGTAATTTAATTGAATCAAAAGTTGGCTATAACGCCACAGTCTCCCCTATAAGTTTAATAATTATAAAATAAAATTATTCTCAGTTAAAAGTTCCTTTTCATTTTTGAGAACTCTATCCGCATTGAAATTCAAATTTTTAGGTAAAATGTTTTCAAATTAAGAAATTTCTAAATATACATGCTTCTGGCAAAGATTACGACTGATAAGTAAAATATTTTTGAGTATTTAGAGAAATAGAGAAACTTTTAGGAGAATGTAATAAAATAGATTTGAGTGAATGTTACAATCATCGATTCCTTCTCCTCCTCGTTCACAATCTCTATTAAAGAGACGAATGCCCGCCACAATGCACATTAATTCCATCAATTGCTCTTCTTTCTCTTTCTTTTGCAAAGTTATATAACGAGACAATTCAGAAGGCTGATAAACACTCTGTAAGGCCAGTGACACTTCTCTAAAAAATATTCATCAAAATTTTTGAGCCATGCTTAATTTAATTTATTTTTTTCAGGCTTCGCATTCATCTACTAAAAGCTACTATTTACTACTTTTCTACGTTGTGCTACTATTTGGATACTTTTCTTTAGATTTCAGCCACTAAAAGCTACTGTTTTTGTTTTTTCTTAAGAATTTCCACTACTTTAAATTCGCTAATACTAGGAATTAAAAAACTATTCTCAAAAATTATAATCAAATTCTTTAAAACGATTCAATTATTTAAAAAAAAAAATTTTTTATACAATTCTTTACAATAATTTAATTACTTTCGCAATAATAATATTTTTCATGGAAATTCCATTTTTTAAATAAATTTTTGATAAAATTCTAAGCAAGAATTCAATTATTTTCATAAATAGTAAAATTCATCGAAGAATTTCAATTATTTTTAATACTATTTTCAATTAATTAATCGAAAAATTCAATTATATGTCAAATAAAGTTTTCTACAAGAATTCAATTATTTTTATAAAATTTTCACAATATTTATTATATTTCGAAAAAAAATTTATTATTTAAAACAATGTTTATAAAATTCTTATAAAGAATTCAATTATTTTCAAAAATAATAAAGTTTTTCACAAAAATTCAATTTTTTAAACATTTTAATAAAATTTTTCGCAATAATACCATTAAGTATTTTTATAAATACACCTAATAAAATTTTCTGGAATTCAATTAATTTCATGAATAACAAAACTCATCGCAGGAATTCAATTATTTTTAATACAATTTTATAGGAATTGCTCAAAAAATGTAATTATTCTTAAAAATTTAATATTTCAATTCCTGGAAAAAATCAATTATTTAAAAAAAAAATGTTTTTTTTAAATTCTTGGAAGAATTTAATTATTTACCAAAATATTAGAATTTTTCACAGGAATTCAATTATTTTCAAATATTTTAATAAAATTGTTCGATAGAAATCAATTATTTTAAATACAATTTTAAATACATTTTTTTGAAATAATTCAATTATTCTTTTAGATTTTAATGAAATTCTTCCCAAGAATTCAATTATTTACATAAATAATTCTTGGAAAGAATTCAATTATGTTAATAAATAAAAAAAAATGATTTCCGAAAATTCAATTATTTTAAGTTTTGTTATTTATAAAAATAATTGAATTCTTGTCAAGAACTTTATTAAAAGTTTGGAAAATAATTGAATTTCTGCGAATAATTTTGATATTTATATAATGATAATTGAATTCTTGACAAAAATTGTATTACAATTTTTAAAAATAATTTAATGGTAAAAATTTTGTTATTTTTGAAAATAATTGCATTTCTACAAAGAATTTTATAAAAAATATTTTAAAATAATTGAATTCCTGCGAATAACTTTGTTCTTTATGATAATAATAATTTAATTTTTCTGAAGAATTTTGTTATTTATCAAGATTTTTGTTATTTATTAGTTTTTAAAATAGTGGAGTTAGTACGAAGAAATTTTAAAAAAATTTATAAATAATTGAATTCTTGTGAAATTTTTATTGTTTATAAAAATAGTTAAATGTTTATGTAGAATTGTATTAAAAAATTTTTTAAATAATTGAATTCTTTTGGAAAATTTTATTAAAATAGTAGATAATTGAATAATTTAATTTTTCTTTTATATTTTAATAAAATTCTTCCCAAGAATTCAATTATTTTCATAAATAACAATATCCATTACAAGAATTCAGTTATTTTTAAAAGTAATAAATTTTTTCTTGAAAATTCAATTATTTAAAAAAAATTCTAATAAAATCTTTTGTAAGAATTTAACTATTTTCATTAATAATTAAATGCTTTTTAGGAATTTAATTTTTTTCAAAAAAATTTAATAAAATACCACACATTCAATTATTGTCGAAAATTTTATTAAATTGTTTGTAATTATTTTTAAAAACTTTTCGCAATTCAATGATTTTCAATATCTACTATTGTCATAAAATTTCCAAACAGAATCCAATTATTTAAAACATTTTTTGTAAAAATCTTCGTAACATTTCAATTATTTAAATTAGAATTTGCATAAAATCAGTCGAAAGAAATCAATTTATTTAAAATTTTTTATAAAATTCCTCGCAAGAATTAAATTACTTTTATAAATATTTATATTCTTTCATGAATTATAAAATTCATTGCAGGAATTCAATTCAATTAAATAATAATTAAAATAAAATATAATTTGTCTATATAAACATTTATGGAAATTCTATAATTCGAAATGACAAAAATTCGAGTAAATTTTATAGTTCGAAATGAATCATTGGTGTTAAATACTATCAAATGTTTTTATGGGATAATCAGGCACCCCCTTTCATTCACCTGAGAACTGAAGGAATTGTTGGATTCCCCAAGCCACTCAATAATGTTATTACCACTAAAATTTTCTGATACAATTTTTCCATGTCTCTATCGGAGTCTAATTTTTTCGTTTCACAAATTTCCTTGACAAGAGAAGCTGTCTTCTCGTGAAGTCGCAATCTGTGTTTCTTGATAATTTCATCTATTTGTTTTTGTAAAAATAATTATCTACTTAGTATTTATTAATATTAATACATTTTTTAAATTTTTATTTACAATTGTAAATCAAATTTTTTTATACTTTTTAGAAAGTGCGTCTGTTCTAGAATTTCATGAGACTTGAAATATAATCACTAAAAATAAGAAAAAATATTTTTCGATGCTGAGCATCATTGCCAATTTCAAAAATCTCTTGAAATCTTTTTTCTACATTAAAGTATATCTAAATAAATTTTAAGAAAATAAAACTCACCTCTATCAAAATAGTGTTTTGCGAAATAAAGTTGAATTTTAATAGTAACTAAATGCGGTTTGTTTTGGTTCAGCAAATTTTTTACCAAAACTGATACAACTTTCAAAATTTCCTCTTCACTATTTTTTTCAATCGAATATTCAGGATTTAATAGTGTCAAACTCAACTAACGAAATTTATAAAAAAAACCTTAGTAATAAATATGTGTAATATTATACTCAAATTATATTATATATTTAATTAATTATAATTATTAAGTTTTTAACGTACTAGAAAGGAAACTAAATCACTCGATACATCAATATGTCTTTTTTTGCACTCTTTAGTTATTGTTTCTATTAAATCCTTTTTTATCAAATCCATTATTTGAAATAGAAGAAAACGCCTTTCTTTCTAAATTATACCTCATGTATTAGGTATAAGAAGAAAATTGAAAACTATTTGGTCGATATTTGTATGGAAACGTGTGTTTTATGTCAAAATTTTTAAGTAATCCAAAGTGACAACGTCAATCCAATGTAACGTAAAATTTATTGTAATTTTTTAATATTATAATTTTTCTAAAATTTAACGCTTTTTTAATGTCAATTAATTGTGATAATTAATATTACTATAATTTCTTAAATTAATTTACTTCTACTATTTTATGAAATTTTTTACTAAATTTCAATTTTTGTCAGACATCAAACTGACGTCAGTTATTTCATGAAAATCAAAATTTCTCATTGTATAATGAAAAATGTGATAAAAAGTACATAGCACTGGATAAATTAATAATATATTCTAATATTCGTTAGAGCAAACAGTTTCTGCTTAAAATTAAAAATATCAAAACTTCGTAAAAAATAAAAAAAATGTTATTTATTAAATTTTGATTTTAAACTAAAAAGTGATTACTTTTAACTATTATTCATTCTACAGGTCTCAAGTTCAAGAATTTTATAAAAGTTTTTGAAAATCGAAGTTGAAAGATTTTTAATTGCAAATTCTAAAAATAATTAAATTCTTAAAAGTTAAAGAAAAAAAAAAGTTAAAGAAGCTTCTTTAAAGGCGCTAGCACAGCTCCTACTGCCTGCCTGCCTGCCTGCAGGTTGACATGGTAACACATAAGAGTAAGAGAGTAAGAAAATTCAAATTAAATGTTTTTTCTCTCTCACTCTTATGGCGCCTGCCTGCGCAGGCAGGCAGTGAGGTGAGAGTGTACCTTTATAGGTATATTGTTTATCCTTCTCTAACTCATTCTAAAGGAGCATTCAGACTTCTGCAGCCAGTGTTGGGAAGTGACGCGTCACTCGAGGTTTTTGACGTAAAATACTTGGTTTTTTACATATGTAAAATACGTATTTTACCCCCCTCTCCCAAAAAATACATTGTGTATAAAACTTTTGAAGTAAAATACGAGGTATTTTACTGTAAAAATCCATGTAATTAACCTGAGGTATTTTACGCGCCCAACCATTGCATTGCGTTTTGTAACTAGGCGATGAGTAAAAATATAGCGAACATATATCTTCATCTCTCTCACACTTATGGCCTAGTTACAAAACGCAACGCAAAACGCTGCCATGGGACTTCACCCTGAGTGAAAAGAATTGTTATCGACTATCTCTCTTGCACTCATTATTGCTTTCAGGGTAAGGCCGCAGTCCAATGACAGCGTTTTGCGTTGCGTTGTAATGAGAGAGAATGCAGCAAACGTATATTTGCGTCTTTTTCTCTCCCATTACGACGCAACGCAAATCTGTCATGGGACTCCACCCTAATGCTGATTCCACACTTACCCAGTCGCTCCGCTTTTCCGTGGCGCTTCGCGTGAGACAGAAAAACATAGAGATATTCTCTATCATGCTGATTCCACACTTACCCAGCGCTCCGCTTTTCCGTGGCGCTTTGCATGAGATAGAAAAAGACAGAGACTATCTCTATCTTTTTCTGTCTCACGCGAAGCGCTACGGAAAAGCGGAGCGACTGGGTAAGTGTGGAATCAGCATCATATCTTTTTCTATCTCACGCAAAGCGCCACGGAAAAGCGGAGCGCTAAGTAAGTGTGGAATCAGCATAAGGCTGGTGTCCCATGACAGCGTTTTGCGTAATGCGTTTTGTAACTAGGCCATGAGTGTAAGAGAGATACAGATATATGTTTACTATATTTGCACTCATGGCCTAGTTACAAAACGCAACGCAAAACGCTGCCATGGGACTTCAGCCTCACATACTTGTCCAACACTGACTTAAGTCAGGTTCACACAGCTCCTTTTTTTAATTAGACTTCTAGATATCCCTGTATAATGGAGCTCTCACAGCTCTGCCTGCCTGCGCAGGCAGTAATTGGAGTAAGAGAGAAAATCAATTAGAGTGAAAGAGATAGTAAATTCAAATTTGTATGCTGCCTACTAGCTGTGAGAGCGCCTTTATTTCTGTTATGCAATCAGCTGTCTTGTAAAGTATTTTGCGTATTTTGGAGTCAATTTTTTGTAGTAAAAAAAAACTTTATAAATATGTCAGCGAGCAAAATTAATATGATTGTGAGTTTATAAAATATATGTTATACTTTCTTTTTAAAATGTTCCTAAAATTTGGCGTTTTAAATTAAACTCTAAAATTTATTATTAAATCATAACCTAATATTTTCTCATTATGATTTCTAGGCCAGAAAATTCTCATCTGCTGCAGGGCAACAAATGATTAAGGTAAAAAGCGAAATTTAATTATTGCGATTAATCTACTTGCATTAAATGTTCAGTGTGGCCACAAAAATTTAATTTTGTTTTTCCCTGATTTCCAGACAAAATTTTGACTTTTTCCCTGACCCTGAAGAATATTCTGATTCAGTCCAAAAATTATTAGATACTATTAATTGAATTTCAAAATTTAAATAAATAAATAAAAATTTAAAATAAAATAAATAACTATAAATTGAAATTATCAAAAATTTTAATTTGAACCCTTTTCAAAATTCAATTATTTTGAAAATTTCAGGCGAGAAGTTTTGTTATTTATGAAAATAATTGATTTCTTGCAAACGAAGTTTATTAAATTTTTTTTTAAATAATTGAATTCCTGTGAATAATTTGTGTTTGTGAAAATAATTGAATTCCGGAGAAAAATATTATTATTTATAAAAATAATTAATTCCTTGAATTTTATTAAATTTTTTTTAAATAATTGAATAACTCTTGTGAAAAAATTTATTTTTGAAAAGAATTTATTTCTTGGGAAGAATTTTATTCGAATTTTTTTAAATAATTGAATTCCCATAAAAAATGTATTATTTGTGAAAATAATTGAATTCTTAAGAAGAATTGTATTGAAAATAAAAAATGAATTGTATAGGAAAATTTTATTAAAATTCCAATTTTATTAATTAAATCTTGTAAAGAATTTTGTCAACATTTTTTTAAATAATAGAATTTTTAAAAGAATTTTATTTAAATTTCTCGAAATAATTGAATTTCTCAGAACTATTTTTTTCAATTCTCTGGATATAATTGAATTCTTTCGATAAACTTCATTAAAAAACTAAATATAATTGAATTGGTGCGAAGTTTATAAAAAATTGGTAAGTAATTGAATTCCTGTGAAAAATTAAAATTTTTTTTAATAAAATTTTGTTTAAATAATTGAATTCTTTTGGAAAATTTTGGAAATTATTAAAATTTTACCAAGAATTTTATTAAATTTTTTGAAAATAATTGAATTTTGGAGAAGAATTTTATTATTTATAAAGATAATTGAAATTTTCACGAGATTTTTTTTAATGTTTGAACACAATTGAATTTATGCAACTCTTTAGAAATCCAATTAATTAAAAAAATTTTAGATAATATTATTTATTAAATAATTTAAAAGTAATAATTTTATGATAGTTGTTCAAGATTTAAGTTATTTAAAAAGAAATTATTGTCAGAAATATAAAAAATTGAAGGGTTTGTATTAGAATTCTTGTCAATTTCATAGTTTATGAGGCAAAGAAAAAAGACACAAAAATTCAGAATTTTCTTATAAATTCTAAAAATTTAATTTTTTCCAGTACTTTTAATGCTTTTAATTAAAATCCCTGACTTCCCTGACCTGTGGCAACCCTGATGTCACTCTCTTATGTATATAAAGATTTTTAGTTTCATTGACATATATAAAACATATTTTTAGCCCCCCATTCAAGTTTTCGGCTTGGAAGGAAGATATGCAACTGCTCTATTTTCTGCTGCCAGCAAACAGAAAAGTTTAGATGCTGTTGAAAAGGATTTAACTAAAATTCAGGTAAGTGTATAAAAATTAACTTGATTTAAAAATAAACGATTTCATCGAAATTATTCACACCTTTCTTTTAGGGATTAATGAAAACAGACAAGAAATTTGTTGAATTCGTAAAGGATCCGTCAATCAAGCGAAAAGTAAAGGCGGAGGCCTTCAATCTAATTGGCACATCTGTGAAATTGAATCAAGCGACAACAAATATGTTGTGCCTCCTGGCTGAGAATGGACGTTTAGGAAAATTGAACCAAGTAGTGAATGCTTTTAAAACAATTATGGCAGCCAATCGGGGCGAAGTTGTGTGCGAAGTAATAACAGCAAAACCTTTGGATGCGGACATGAAGGCAAAACTCGAATCCACATTGAAAATGTTCTTGTCTAAGGGACAAACAATTTTACTGAATACTAAAGTTGATCCTGCCCTAATCGGAGGAATGGTTGTTTCTATTGATGATAGATATGTCGATATGAGTGTCTCTAGTAAAATTAAGAAATACAGCGACCTCCTCACGTCTGCTGTTTGAATTCACAAATTAAATATAAATTATAATTAACATAATAGTCATTTTAATTATCATGAAAATCATAATAAATGCTCCTAGATGCTGAAAATCCGATTCGTTTGTACGGCCATGTTCTTTGTCAAAACTTACTTTTCAACATCACTAATGTAACAACATTCTCTGGCGAGGTAAACTTGACAAATAAAAGATATTTCTGTTTTGTTGCCAATTGAAATTTTCTTCATTATTCAATTAACTAGCGAATGTTAGGTCCATTAGCGCGCGGAACATGATATTCGATTTATTATTATTCCGCAAATTACAAAATTTTTTATTCTCAAATATGAACTTTTCAATACTTTCCGATTTAAACTTTAAAAGAAATCAATTATTAATTACTTCACTAATTAATCATTCTTGTTTATTAATTTCAAAAATTATTTAAAAATTCTTCACAAGAATTCAATTATTTTCATAAATAATAACATTCTTCGTAAGAATTCAATTATTTTTATAAATAGTAAAATTTTTTGCATAAATTCAATTATTTTTAAACAAAATTTTAATAAACTTTCACCAACGAATTCAATTATTTTCTGAAATTTTAATAAATCCTTCTAAACAATTCAATTATGTACTTTTTTAAATAGTAAAATCTTTGCAAAAATTCAATTATTTTTAAAACAAAATTTTAATAAAATTTCAGGAACGAATTCAAATATTTTCTAAAATTTTAATAAATCCTTCTAAACAATTTAATTATTTTTTTAAATAGTAAAATTTTTGCAAAAATTTAATTATTTTTAAAATGCAATTTTAATAAAATTTCTTTTCTTGAAAGAAGTCAATTTTTTTTAATTTTTAATATTTTTCGAAAAAATTCAATTACTTTCTTAAATTTTAATAAAATTAAATAATTACATAGTTAATTTCATTTTCTAACAAAAACGATTAATTTAAAAACATGAAAGAAATTGTTCATAAAATTAAATTCTTCGGGAGAATTCAATTATTTTTATAAATAATAAAATTTTTTGCAAAAATTCAAATATTTTCAACAAAATTTTAATACAATTTTACAAAAAAAAATCAATTATTTTCTAAAATTTTAATAAATCTATTGAATCAATTGAATTATTTTTTTAAATAGGTATTGAAGTTTTTCCAAACATTCAAATACTTTCAATTATTTTAATTTTTTAGTTCTATTTACCTTCTGGTTATTTAAAATCTTTTTTTTTTGTAAAATTCATTAAAAAAATTTCTTAATTTTCAAAAGGATTAATAAATTTCTTGAAAAATATTCAAATATCTTCTTTAAAACTTAAGAAATTGCAATTATATGTCCAAAATTCAATTATTTAAAAAAAAATTAAAGTAATTCTAAATATTAAGTTACTCTCAAAAATTAAATTATTTCTAAAATTGTCGCTAAAATTTATTTTCAAAATTCAATTATTTTCAAAATTTTTAAAAAATTTCTTGTAAAATATTAAATTATATTCTATAAAAATTTGAAAATGTTACAATTTGTTTATAAAAATTTAATTATGTCAATTTTTTAATAAAATTCTTAAAACATTAAATTTGTTTTTATAGAATTTAAAAACTAATTTCTTCGGAAAAATTTAATTATTTACAAATACTCTTATAAAATTGTTTAAAAGAGTTTAATTTCTCCAACACTTGCTCTGAAAGGAGTACTTTTCTTGGTAGAAAAGTGTGGCGAAAGTAGAACTTTTCTCAACTGCTCTGAAGAGCGTGGCGAAAGTAATTTTTAGCGTGGCGAAAGTAAATTTGGCGTGGCGAAAGTAAATCATGAATTTATTCTTTTTCTTGTTCTTTGACCGAGATTTATTTTGTATCTAACTTCTTCCCCACTCAAAACATTCGTCTTTTATTATATTAAACATAAGCACACGTTAAATTAAAATTATACAAAACTCACGTCACGAAGAAACCTTTCCTCGCAAGGCGTTGGAGAAAACGTAGTGCACAACTCGTGGTGAAAGAATGATTTTTCGAGAGTGATTGCTGCTCTCGCTACGCTCGAGCCGCAAACTTCACTCTCGAAAAATCACACTTTCGCCACTAGTTGTACAATGTACTATTTCTATCAATAATTTCAATAAAGTTTTAATGATAAAATTATTAATTACGATTACTAACAAAATTGATTATATTCAATAAATTAAAGAAATTTTTTGAAAGAATTCAATTATTGTCAAAACCTTTAATAGTATCTATTCTTTAAAAGAATTTAATTATTTTCTATATTTTAATAAAATTCCCTGAATAAATAAAATTATTTTAGAAAAGTGTAATAAAATTTTGAGAAGAATTCAATTATTTCCAAAAGTTTTAAAAAAATTCAATAAGTATGTGTTGAATTTCAATTATTAAGAAACGCGATTATTTTAAAAACTCAAAAGAAATTCTTTATAAAATTCAATTACTTTAAAAATGTTTAATTATAATTATTAAAGAAATTAGATTTAAAAAAAAAAATTTTAAGAAATTCTTCGAAAGAATTTAATTCGGATTTTTAAAAATTTTAATAAATTCTTCACAAGAATTCAATTATTTTCATGAATAGTAAAATTCCTTAAAGGAATTAAATTATTTTCATGTAATAATAACATTCTTCGGAGGAATTCAATTATTATTTTTAATTCAATTTTAGTAAAATTTCTCGAAAGAATACAATTATTTTTAAAAATATATTAATTAAATAATTCAATTATTTTCAGAAATTCTGATAAAATTCTTCGAAACAATTCAATTATTTTTATAAATTGTAAAGTTTTTCGCAAGAATTCAATGATGTTCGATACATTGATTTTAAAATTGAAAAAATTTGACAAGAGAAATTATTAAAAAATTAGGAAACAAAAAATCAATCAGCAACTAACTTCAAACTGTGAACAGATTATCGGAATATAACGATAATTAATATAGAAGAAGATGGATTATTCTTTCCAATGAGTTGAAAATTTGAAATCAGTAACAACTATATATACAATCGTCAACTTTATTAATATAACATACAATCTTAATAGTAAAATCTAATAATGTAGATAATAGATGTTATTCATAAATAAAAATATTCTCAAATCTAAAGTATAAGTACTCTACTAAACTCATGATCAGTTGCCTCGTACAGTGTGAATAAGAATAAAAATAAATCTTTTAATTTCGTAGAAAAAAATTAACAATTACATATATAATATATAACACATATTTCATTAGGATCCAACAATGATAAATAATATGCACATATATATTATATATACATATAAAAGTCTTTGACATATAATTATATACAATATACACATATAATAATATATACGTATATATTTAAAAAAAATCGATTACAAGTGGAAAAAATCAACTATGCACTGTTACAGGCATCTGCAATTAATTTGAGACTAGATTTCCATAAATAATAATAGAAACTTTCCATCCACGTGTAGAAAAGGCAAGGGATGAGGAGTATTAAAAATCAAAAATAATCAAAAATAATCAAATCATATACACATATCTAAAAGATTCCATGAAATTAAGATATGTAAAAAATGGTCTAAAAACCCTTTTTCACACGTGAAGATCTTTAAAGACTTTTTCCGCAGTTCCGCTGAATTCCTTGACTATTACCCTAGAATTTAATTCAACGACTTGAGATAAGCGGCATCAAATAAATCAAGTTCATTGGTCAGATAATTGGCCTTGTTTCTTAAAACTTTAGCACTCGTGGCAGCTTCCTCGAGTGTACGGAGAGATGTTGCAATTTTCTTCAACTCCATGTCCATGTCTGAGGTACTCTCATCCACCAAGTGACAAAGACGAGCGAATGTACTTGATAATTCTCTGTAAAGAAAAAATATTTACTTCATTCAAATAAAAGTTTGAAAAAAATATTTACTTGGAATAAATTTTAAATATTTTTCACAACTCACTGTTGTACTTGATGACTACAATTTGCTGAAGTAAGATCGACAATTAACTTCAATTTTTTTGTCGCATGATCAACATATTGACGTTTGAATTCTCGTTCTTTTGCTGTATTCGTCCACGTTAATCTTTCATAAAGATACAAGGCTCCATAAATGGCGCCTGTAACGGCAATTAATCTCCATCCGACGGTTTTTAACATCTGCAAATATAGATTATTAAATGCCACGCTTTTGCTCATTTCAAATTCCCTGACTTTTTCAGGTTTTCCAGGTTAAAAAACGGAATTTTTCCAGGTTTTTAAAACTACATTTATATTTTACAAAATTTTTAATTCAAACCTTTTTGAAATTAAACATGTTATAAAACATGAAAACATAGATCACTCCGAGTCTTCGACTCAGAGCAATCGATATCTTCATGTTTTATAATATGTAATTAAAAATGTTGGACTGATAAAATCATCATTTTATACCTATTATAAGAATATTGTTACTGTAACTTATTCAAAATTACTTTCATTATTTTAATTCTATTATTGTTTCCCACAATTTATAACTAAAATTCTTCTTTATAATGTTTAAATTAATTATTATTAATAATTTCTGAAAAATTTTTTTCAACATTTTCAAATCCTTTTGTTTACAATTCAATTTTACGAAATTTCATCGATTATTCAGGTATTCGGAAATTCTTCAATCAAATATATATTAAAAAATAAAAACTTGAAATAACTTCAAAAAAATTCAATTCAACTTTTACAAAAAAATTAAATCTACACAATTTTAAGTTAAAAGTATGAAAAATTCAAACATTCAAAGATTATAATTTGAAACCTTTTCAAAACTCAATTATTATCTAAAGTTTTAACTGAAATTCATATTTGAATCAATTATTATTAGAAAATTCTACGACAATTCAATTATTTAAATACAAAAAAAAAATAATTTATTGAAGAATTCAATGTTTTTTAAAATTGAACTCTCATTTAAAGAATTTTATCAACAAATTTTTAAATAGTTAATTAAAATTCTTTTGACGAATTTCAATGAAATTTTTAAGAATAATTTCATTTTTCTAGAAATTAGATTAAAAATGTATTAAAAGTAATTGAATCTCTGTAAAAAAATTTCATTGAATTAAGAAAAGTTTTTGAAAATAATTGAATTTTAGAGAAAAATATTAATATTTATAAAAATAATTGAAATTTTGACTTTTTTTTAAACTTTTGACCATAATTGAATTTCTGCTAAGAATTTTATTACTTTTGAAAATAATTGAATTCTTGAGACGAATTTTTTAATAATATTTCGTTTTAAATATCTAATTATTTTTAATATAAAAATAAATAATTTATTGAATAATTGAATGTTTCTCAAAATTGAATTCTCATAAAGAATTTTAGTAACAAATTTTTAAATAATTGAATTCTAACTGTTAACAAATTTAAAGTAGTGTAAATTTTAAAACATGGAAAAAAGTTAATAGATTTTTAAAAATTTGAAAATCAATAGCATATAAGAATATTATTATAACTAAAATTCTTCTTTAAGTCAATTTTATTTTTTTTTAAATAATTTTTGAAAAAGTTCTTTGAAAATTTTCAAACCCTTTTGTTTACAATTTAATTTGATGAAATTTCGATTATTCATATTCTGACATTCTTCAATTAAATATATAGGAAATTAAAAATTTCAAATAATTAAAAAAGATTCCACTAAACTTTTTGAATTTCAAATTTTAATTTGGAACTTTTTGAAAATTCAATTCTTTCCAAAAATCCACGTTTTCAATATTCAATTACAATCTTAAATTTTAACTGAAATTCATTTTTAAATCAATATTTATTAGAAAAGTGTACGAAAATTCAATTATTTAAATGCAAAAATAAATATTTTATTAAATAATTGAATGTTTCATTAAATTGAATTTTCCTAAAGCATTTTATCAACAAATTTTTAAATATTTGAATTCACTTCACAAATTTTAATAAAATTTTTAAGAATTATTTCATTTTTCGATAAATTTTATGAAAATTGTATTAAAAATAACTGAAATTCTGAAAAGAATTTTTTAAAAGTTTTGAAAATAATTGAATTTCGGAGAAAAATTTTATTATTTATAAAGATAATTTAAATTTTGACGAGAATTTTTGTAAATTTTTTAACATAATTCAATTTTTGCGAAGAATTATATTATTTTTGAAAATAATTGAATTCTTGAGACGAATTTTATGAAAATTTCTTTTTAAATAATTGAATTCTTTTGTGAAATTTTATTGAAATAGAAGACATTGAAAATAATTGAATTTTTACAAATTTTTGAAATTAATTAAATTTCTAAGAAGAATTTTATTAAAATTATTTTGAAAAAAATTGAATTGTTACAAAGAATTTCATTAAAATTTTTGAAAATAATCTAATTCTTTTGAAGAAATTTAATTCAAAATGTATTGAAAATAATATTTAAATTGTAGCGAAAAAGTTTTTAAAATAATGGAATTTCTTTGATAAATTTTAATATAAGGGAAGTGTTCCGGTTGTGGGCACCCTTTTGTTTTTGCCTCATAACATTTGTCCATGTGCATATTATACAAATGTATGTGTACGAATTTAAAGCTGGAGGTCTAAGGTGACTGTCAGTGAAGGAATTAAATTGATTCCTTTAAATAAAAAAGTTTTATTAGAAATTTAGTGAAATGGAAATTTTTTGACAAAAAAATTTTTGTACCCGGTTGTGGGCACCCTTGAAAAATCCGCTGAAAATGAAAAAATATTAAAGGAAACCAACACAAATAAAGAAAAAATGAAAGTTTCTTTATTTTAAGAGACTTTGCCGGGATAAAGAACAAAAATGATGACACGTTTTCACACTATGCTCATCGCTAACAAAAGCATAATGCTTGCATGTGAAGTAGCTAGTACGCATACCATAACGCACTTCTAATGCACTGAACGACTATATTCATCGCATTTAATGGAGTTTGCGGCTGTCACTTTCCTTGACAGAAAGTTTAGATAGATGAGACAGTAGTCCACATCATTGTCAGATGGTAGAGCCTCCTTAACATAAAGGTGCCCACAACCGGGAATGACAGTCATTTCTTAAAAAGACCAACACATTTTGTGATGCAGAATTTTGGTTAAACACGAAGATATATCACAAAATATAATAACAATACTGCAAAAAAAAAATTAAACCCTTTTTTTCTGAACGAATCTACACCCATATGTTGCTCTTCGAAAACAATACAAAATTACTTTTTTATTTATTTAATGCAAATTTTCTTTATTATGCTCACAGCTATTACACAAATGCATATATTTGTTTCGTTATCAATACGAAAAGTCCGTATTGTCAACAAACACGACTTGCAATACTTAGATCAGTAAAATCTGCTTGCTGTCAAAGTTTACGTAGGGGTGCCCAAAACCGGCGCACTTCCCCTAATTTTAACAGAATAATTACATTTTTCGAGGAATTCCATTAAAATGTTATTAAAAATATTTGAAAGTCTGCGAGGAGTTTTATTATTTATGAAAATAATGAAATGTTTGCGTAGAATTTTATTAAAATTTTTTTTAACTAATTAAATTCTTTTGGGTTTTTTTTTATTAAAGTAGTAGATATTAAAAAACATTGAATTGAGGAAATTTTTTGAAAATAATTAAAAATTTTCCAAGCATTTTTTTTAAATTTCTGAAAATAATTGAATTTTTAAGAAGAATTTTACTACTTTTGAAAATAATTGAATTTCTACAATCATTTGTAATTGCTTCAAAATTCAATTTGTTCTAGTGTTTTTAACTAAAATTCTTCTATAAATCCATTATTTTTAGTAATCAATTAAATATATATTAAAAAATTTAACTAGTTTCAGAAGAATTTTAGTTAATTTAAAAATTATTTTTAAATCTAAGTTTTTAAAAATTTCGAATTAAATTCATTGAAAATTGAAATTTTATAAAATTTCAAATTAAAAATCTTTTAAAGTTCATCTATTTATAAAAATTGTAAACGCAACTCTTTCAAAATTGAATTAATTTTGAAATATTGAAGTAAAATTGGATTTCAAGAATAAACACAATAACTTTAAAAAATCACAATTTTACAGGAATTCGATGAAAATTCCCTGACATTTCCAGGTTGCGTGGCAACCCTGAGTATTATTTTTAAGACAAAATAAATTTGAAATGAATAAATAAATAAAATAAAATAAAAATAATCCAATTGAATTATTGAGTAATGAATATCTTACGAAGCCAGCAACAATTAGTCCACCCATAGTGCCTTGTGAAGTTATTGAAGCAATTGCAACTTTCGTAGCCAGCGACCAATCATCTTGTCTGTTCGGAAAAGATGCCACAGTGGTGACGAACTTTGATGAATCTATGCTGTCTGCAGGTGAAGCAATGTACGGTGGTATCTTGTAATTAAACAAATAATTTAAACTTTAGTAGGTGACAAAATGTTTTCGTTTTTTTACACGAAAATTTAAAAATTAGATTATCATATTATACATACAATTAGTAATAAAAAAAATTATAAGTTATAAATAATTATAAATATTAGTGATAATAGCTCATTAATAATAATAAAGTTAGCAAACAGAAATAATGAAAAAATAAATAATTGAGAAATGCAATTAACTCACATCCTGAGGATAATTTGCAATGGCAGCCCGTTGACTTTGTTTACCAGCGAACCTGCTAATAATAGCCGTGAAACCCCATGAGAATCTGAATTCAAGATCTTCATGAAAATCTGCGCAAAGATTATCACAATTGAGTCTATACAAAATTTCGAAAGGCTCTCTACGTGGAAGAATATTGAGCGACATTTGTTTCTTATTCTCCGGTAGTAAAACTGACATTCTGTCCGTCATTTCCCGTTGTGAGGTTTCAATATTCATAGCCAAAGCAGTGCTGAGCCTTGCTCTTAAATTCGAACCTGTAAGGGAAAAGCATATAGAATTTTTAGAAATTAGTTTTTAAAAACAAATTTAATTTTCATTTTAATGAAAAATTTGTTTACCTAAACCATTTTCAACGTGCGAATGAAGTTCACGTTTATAAACATTCAAAACGAGTGGTTCTGGATGAAACGGAACACTAAATTCATCTATAAGAGCAGATAATCTGCGAATCTCGTCACTTAGAGCCTTTGATACTCGTTGTTCGACATCCTCGACCATGTGGTGAATTTTATCTTTCATTTCTTGAGTTAATAAAAGGAGTTGTTGTTCGGTGAAATTTAATTTATCATGAACTTCTTTTTTATTGTTCAATTGCTCGGCTCTCATTTTTTGTGTGCGCTCGAGTATTTCATCTAATGTCTGTCGGATTTCTCTACAAATTTATAAAAAAGATTAGCATTTCACAATTATTATTATAAATTGATACAGATATAGAATAAATAAAATGAATTATTAGCAGAGCTTAATAAATTTTACACAAAACTGTAAAATTAAAATAATTTAAATGCTTTTCTTATTTGGTTAAATATAATTACGTTGCAATATGTTTTCCACGTTGCGAATGTTGTTCGAATTTCGTTTTTACAGCTGACTTGGAGATACATTCTTCAAACTTTCTTTCAAAATCTTGAAATTCAAAGTAACGATTCTGAAATCCTTCAGCCAGAGCACCATCTGATAAGTAAAAAAAAATTAGGTTCAAGCATCACAAGTAATTTTTTTCTTCAAAAAAAAAAGATGAAAAGGGTAATTTTTTTCCCCTGACCTTAAAGAATATTCTGATTCACTCTAAAAATAATTAGATACTCAAAAAAATGTTCTATTACATTTATTTACGAATTTCTTTAACTGTAAAATTATTCGAAAACAGCAATAACTTCATTTTTAAATAAATACAACAATTCGTGCGCTAAAGCGCGCGGCTTACTTCTTACTACCTTTTTTAAATAAAATTAGCAATTTTAAAAATAATAGAATTTAAATTTTTGTTGAAAACACTAAAAAAATTCAATTTTGGAGAAATTACAAATAATTGCAAAAATTCAATTATTTTCAAAAAAAAAAAAAAAATTCTTCTTATTAAATTCAACTATGTTCAAAATTTGAAAAAAAATTCTCGTAAATATCCCAATTATGTTTATAAATAACAAAATTCTTCTCCAAAGTTCAATTATTTTCATAAATGTCAAAAAAATTCTTGTCCTAATTTCAATTATTTTCAAAAATAAAATGCATTTTTCTAATTTCAATGATTTTCAATATCTACTATTTTAATCAAATTTCCCAAAAAGAATCCAATTATTTAAAAAAAATTTTAATAAAATTGTATGCAAACATTTAATTATTTTCATAAATAATAAAAATTTCACAGGAATTCAATTATTTTCATAAATAATAATTTTTTTTAAGGAATTCAATTATTATTTTCATAAAAAATAATTTAAAATTCTAGAAAATAATAATTGATTTAAAATGATAAAGATAATTTTGATGAAGTTACAGTAACAATATTCCTATAATAAAAAATAATGATTTTATTACTTGGTCATCTTTAATTAATAGAAAACATGAAGAAATCGATCACTCCGAGTCGAAGACTCGGAGTAATCGATGTCTTCATGTTGTATAACAATATTTTTAAAGTTGTTTAATTTAAAAAAGGTTTGAATTTGAAATTTTTGAATGTCTTAATTCCTGTGGAAAATCCTGTTCCAGAAATAAGATTAAAAATAATTCAATAATTTATAATAATTAAAGATGACCGAGTGATAAGATCATTATTTTGTAATATATATAAGAAATATTTTTACTGTAACTTCTTCAAAATTATTTTCATCACTTCATTTAAATTATTATTTTATAGAACTAGCTCCTCCGACGGCCGCAAGCGGCCGTCTACGGTGCTAGTTTTTATATGTCCATTGTCCAAGTCCATTATTTCATTAATAATAATATTAATTATAATATTCAAATTTTTTCAGTTAAACAATTTGCTTATTTATATTTGAAATGTTAACGTTTTTTTGACAATGCAAAATAAGATTTATTATGAGTACTTTCTCTTAACAAAAATAAAATTTATATATTCGCGCTCTTTTTAAATAACATACGACTGCAGCGCCACGTTTACATGTCCAAACAATTTTGAAAACACCCTTCTATTAAGATTTTACATTCTCATTGCCCATTCTTTATTTCGATACTTTTCGATACATTCGACCTTTCCACTCCATGTCTTTTTTAAGAAAGGATGTCTTTTTTAAGAAAGGATTTTTTAACTAAAATTCTTCTTTAAATCAATTATGTACAATAATTTTAAAAAAAAATTCTGAGAATTTTCAAACGTATTTGTTTACAATTCAATTTTACGAAATTCCATCGATTATTCGAAAATTCTTCAATTAAATAATATAATTATATTTTAAAATAAAAATTTGGAATAATTTCAATTAAACTTTTTGAAAAAAATTAATTCTACAGAATTGTTAGTTAAAAATATGGAGAATTCAGATTTTCAATGATTTTAATTTGAAAATTTTTAAATATTCAATTATTTCTAAAAAATTTTCTCTATAATGCTTTTAATATTCAATTATTATGTAAAATTTTAACTGTAATTCACTTTTAAATTAATTTCTGTTAGAAAATTCGACGAGAATGAAATTATTTAAATACAAAAATAAATAATTTATTGAATAATTGAATATTTCTTAAAATTTAATTCTCATAAAGAATTTTATCAACAAATACTTAAATAATTAAATTCTTTAGACGAATTTTAATAAATTTTTTTAAAATAATTACATTTTTCGAGGTATTTGATTCAAATTGTACTAAAAATAATTGAAATTCTGCGATGAGTTTTATTATTATTTATAAAAATAATTAAATTATTGCGAAGATATTTATAAAAAAAAATTTGTAAATAATAGAATTCTTTTGGAAAATTTTATTAAAATAATAGATATTGAGTATCATTGAATTTAGGAAAATTTTTGCAAATAATTGAAATTTTGCCAAGAATTTTATTGAAATTTTTGAAAATAATTGAATTTCAAAAAGAATTTTATTATTTAAAAAGAGAATTGAAATTTTGACGAGAATTTCTTTAAATTTTTGAATATAATTGAATTTCTGCGAAGAATTTTATTACTTTTGATAATAATTGAATTTGTGCAATCATTTGAAACTTCTCTAAAATTCAAATTTTTTCTAGCGCTTTTAACTAAAATTCCTCGATAAATGTATTATTTTTATTAATTAGTAATTAATTAAATATATATATATAATATAATAATAATAATAATAATAATAAAAATAATAATAATAATAATAATAATAATAATAATAATAATAATATAATAATAATAATTAAAATAATAATAATAATATATAATTTCTAAAATGAAATTCATTTTTTTATGATAATTGTAAACGTAACTCTTTTAAAATTCAATTAATTTTGAAATGTATAAATAAAATTATTCATTAAATAATTTCTAAGTAATAATTTTATGATAGTTGTTCAAGAATTAAGTTATTTAAAAAGAAATTTTTGTCAGAAATGGGAAAATTGAAGGTTCCGTGTTAGAATTTTTGTTTTTCTAGAAAAAACTATTAATAATAATATTTGAATTATTTGAATGTTAATTAATTATTTTTCCAGAGGTCTGCATTCTGTTGAATGAACCACCTTATAATTTATAAAATTCTTTACGTTATCTATATTATTAAAATCGTTAATATAAAAGAATACATATTTATATTATGTTGTGGTGTTAATAATCTAAATCTAAATCAAAAATAAAATGGACTGAATTCTATACCATTGAGTCTGAATTTTATGATTACACTTTGAAAAAGATTTCAAAAAAAGAAAAACTTTTTTATTTTTGATTGAAAAAAGGTGAAAAGGGTGAAAAAGGTGATAAAATTGAAATAAGGGGACAAAAGGGGAAAAGGGGACCAACTGTGATGTCTGGAATTTAAACCAAAATAATCTTACTATGTGCTGGATTGCCACGGTGTTCTTCTAGACGGGCCAAAAGCGTTTCCTTCGCAGAAATGAAAAATACACGTTCCTCAGCATCCTTTGGACTGTAGACCTTTAATTCTCTCGCTAAAAAGTCCACAGCTCGTTCTTGATGCTGCGCTCTTACCTACACATACATTTTTAGACGTTCGATTAAATCAAAATAAGCACGTTCAATTTTATTTTGCAAAAATCATTCCAAAAATGAAAATAGAACTGTGATGTAAAGGAAAGCACTTTCACCGTCAAGAGCAAATAACATTGTAAGTTTCTTTGAAAATAATCATCCTAGTGTGAATTGCATAAAATTAAAGTAAAATTGTGCTCTGGCTTAATGAATATTGTCGACTTATGAACATACCTCCTTCTGTTCATCGACCAGCTAAAGGATAAATTTTTTATTGTACTTGTTTTATTAAAAATTAAGACTCCAACAATCGAAAATTATAATGATTATAGATAGCAACGATTATAACAAAATTACCTCGTCTAAAAATTCTGGTTCTGAAGCAGAAGCATCCCAACGATTATTTAAAATGAAGATATTTGGTTTCGATAATTTTGTAGATACTTTGTGAAAGAAGTTTTTTTCCTATAAAAAAAATAACAATTGATTAGAAAATATCTACTGAATTCAATTCACAAGTAAAATTGACATTTATGTAATTAGAAACGTCACTTAATTTTAATAAAAAAGTGAACGTACAAGTAAAGTAATAAACATACCGTCACCATCAAAGTGGATTCCGCATTTGCAACGAGCACAAAAACATCTGCATCCAAGCAATGTTTATCGATCCATTCATCTAAATTTGGTGTAACATCGACTCCAGGACTATCGACAAATACAACATCGTCTCTGAGGAGAAGACATTTTTCCTTCGGCCAGAAAATTCGTACCAAATGACTCTCAGATAGTTTCTCCTTACACAATGCATGACCAAGTTGTCCAACCGACTGAACGGGCTGCTTTTCTTTAGACCCTTCTGTTATTAGGTAGGATTCATTATTTTCTGAACCTTCTACTTGAAGAAAGCAATTTGTTGTGTGACCTATTCCACTTGGCAGTATTTTGTCTCGTAACATGGCATTGATGACAGTACTCTTTCCGTTGCTTGTCCTGCGTATTAAATTAAATTCAAAATCTATATTAATCGTCGTTGTATTCCGGTAATCTGTTCGCAGTTTCAAGTTTGCAGACTTTGCACTCGATAATTCATTTTAAAAAAGTAGCAAAAAGTAGCTATCAAACTAAAAAAAAGTAGTAAAAAAGTAGCTATCGAAAAATTAAACTTGACGACCAAAAAAACTCGTTTTAGACACTACACAAAACTGACAAAAATTCAATTCCATACTTTTTATTTTCCTGACTTTTTCCTAATTTTTATCAAAAATATTTCTTTCTTTCTTATCCTGCTAATAAACTGAATTCCTGCAACGAATTTTATTATTCATCAAAGAATTTAAATATTTATAAAAATAATTTAATTCTGGCGAAGAATTTTATAAAAATTTTTAAATAATTCACTACTTCGACTAATTTCATGCAAATTCTTATTTAAATAATTCAACTCTGTTTGGAATTGCGAAAAGTTTTTAAAAATAATTAAACATTATAAAGAATTCTAATACAATTTTTCAGAATAATTGAATGTCTGTGTGGCATTTTGTTAATTTTTTTTGAAAAAAATTGAATTCCACAGAAGCATTTTATTATTTATGAAAATAATTGAATTCTTGCGAACGATTTTATTAGAATTTTTTAAAAGAATTGAATTACAAAGAAGAAATTTATTACTTTTAAGAATAATTAAATTTTGTAAAAGGCCGAAAGGTCATACATATGAATCCAATAAAATAATAATAATAATAATAATAATAATAATAATAATAATAATAATAATAATAATAATAATAAAATAATTAAATTCCTGTGATGAATATTGTTATTTATGAAAATAATTGAATTATCACGGATAATTTTATTAAAATATTTAAAAAGAGTCATTAAATTGCAAAAAGTTTTTAAAAATAATTAAATTTTATAAAAGATTCTATTTAAATTTTTGATAATAATTGAATGTCTGTGTGGTATTTATTAAATTTTTTTGAAAATAATTGAATTCTTGTGAAGAATATTGTTATTTATGAAAACATTTAAATTTTGCAAACAATTTTATTAAAATGCCTCAAAATAATTTAATTTTCGGGAATAATTTTGTTATTTATCTTTAATAATTGAATTCTTTCGAAGAATTATTTATGTAAATAATTGAATTCTTGGGAAGGATTTTTTTTTAAATAATTGAATTCTTGGGAAGGATTTTTTTTTTAAATCTAAAAGAATAATTGAATTAATTCAAACAAATCTAATTAAAATTGTATTTAAAATAACTGATTTCTCTTGAACAATTTTATTATTTATGAAAATAGTTGAATTATTACGAATAATTTTATTAAAATGTTTAAAAAGAATTGAATTTCTGTGAAAAATTTTGTTATTTTTGAATGTAATTGAATTCATCATAAGAATTTTGTAAACATTTTTTTAAATAATTAATTATTTCGAAATATTATAAATATTATGAAAAAATTATTTAAAATAATTGAATTCTTGTGAAAATAATTAAATTTGTCGATAAACTAATTTAAAAATAATTGAAATTCTTCGATGAGTTTTATTATTTATGAAAATAATTAAATTCTTGCTTAGAATTTTATCAAAATTTTTCTTAAAAAGTTGAATTTCTATGAAAAATGTTGTTATTAGTGGAAGTAATTGAATTATTGTGAAGAATTGTATAAAAATTTTGTTGAATAATTGATTTAAAAAATTTGATTATAATTAATAATTTTTTTTTGTTTCTTAATTTTTTAATAATTTTTCTTTTTAGATGTTTTCAATTTTATAATTAATGTATTGAAAATAATTTCATTCTTACGAAGAATTTTATTAAAAGTTTTGAAAATCTTAATTAAATTCTTCTGAAGAGTTTCTTTGAACTTTTTTAAAATAATAGTAGTTTTTTTTAATAATTTCAATTGAAAATTTTGAAAGTAATTATATTTCTCCAACACTTGCTCTGAAAGGAGTACTTTTCTTGGTAGAAAAGTGTGGCGAAAGTAAATTTGGCGTGGCGAAAGTAAATCATGAATTTATTCTTTTTTCTTGTTCTTTGACCGAGATTTATTTTGTATCTAACTTCTTCCCCACTCAAAAAATTCATCTTTTATTATATTAAACATTAGCACACGTTAAATTAAAATTATTCGAAACTCACGAAGAAACCTTTCCTCGCAAGGCGTTGGAGAAAACGTAGTGCACAATAACACGTGGTGAAAGAATGATTTTTCGCCACTAGTTGTACAATGTACTATTTATGAACAATTTCTTTTCAGTTTTTAAAATAATCGTCATTGTTAATAATTGAAATTAAACATTTGATTATTGAATTTTATTAATTCTATTGGGAATAATTGAATTTTTGCAAAAAATTTTACTATTTATAAAAATAATTGAATTCTTCTAAAGAATTTTATTATTTATGAAAATAGCTGAATTCTTCCAAAGAATTTTATTAAAATTTTTGATAATAATAAAGATTAATAATTAATTATGTACTTAATGAGTGAATTTTCTAGATTTTGAATCTGAAATTATTCAAAAAATTGAAGTTTATATTTCATAATAAAAATAATTTGTAATTTGCATACTAATAATAATAATAAAAAATTGAAAATCATGTTTCGCGTCCGTAATTGTTTAATAAAATCCACTTAAATAAAATTTATATTCTTTCTCGCAATAAATTACGCTACGCATCGAAATTGAATTTAACGATTAATTTAAATAATAATTTACCGTCCGAAAAATGCAACCTTCATGTGATCCCGTCTGAGCACGTCCCGAATTCCTCGCACTTTCTCGACATATGAGGTAATTATTTTCACCTCTTCGTTATTGATGACTTCTCGATCATCTCGAAGAGCTAAAAATAAATATCCATTAGTTATATTCTCTAGAAGTGAATGAGAATGAAATTGAAAACAAAATGAATTTAAAATGTAACAAGCCTTACACTCCATAAATCCAACAGTGTCCTGAACATAATCTTCTATTTCCTCGAAAATGTGGTTGATCTTCTTCTTGGCTTTGACAAATATCTGCAGAGGTGAATTTTCAGTTCTAGCATCATTTGTACGATATTGGCTTTCGTTTCCAATCATTGATATTGTGCGATTTATATAGGCAGCCATGTTGTCCTTATGTTTACAAGTTTACAAAGACGTGATTCTTACAGAGCAAAATAACGAAAATAGAAGTGCAAGGTAGACTGAACGGAATTCTCAAAGTGGTGCACGGCATGCAGGACCAACTGAAATCAAAAGAACAAAGCAGTGTTTCAGCAGAAAAATACATACATCGAAATAAATTTACATTCTACTCTAAATAATCATTTCAAAATACATTTCTCTCATTTTATTTATAAACAAAATGGGGGTTACTATTTATAATACAAATAAATGTACATACACTTCATTACATTTGTAGCTTGTAAAACATGTGTCTTTGTGTGAAACTAAATAATACTAACATTATTGGTAAACATACAGAGTGATCTTGTAATTTTAAGTATAAACAGCAAGACTTGTCAAAACGAAAATAAAAAATACCCCCTCGACTTTTTTCTAAAATCAACTTGTGCTCTTTTATTTCTAGTCCATAAAACGCAAAATGAAAAATTGAACGACGCAATTTTCAAATTTCACAATCATGAATTTTACTAACAATTAACATTCTTTATTTATGTTATAAATTTAGAAAACTTCATTATAACCTTCAAAAAATTTTTGATGATGACCATGAGAAAAAATTCTGATAAACATTGAATAAAACGAATAAAATAAATAAAATCAATAAAAAATAAAACTAAATTAATAGTGAAATGATGGAATAAAATTTATAATCATGAACAAAAATACTAGAATAGTAAACACTAATTTTTAAGAACCTGATTGTTTTCTGACATCGAACTCTCCGTCCATGAAATATTCTTGAATGTTGATTTTTCTATCCCTCTGACTGAAACTATCACTGAAACATTTTCTCTACATTATTTTTCTTAAAATTCATAAATTTTATTTTTATCTGACGTAACACGAGATTTGCGCAGTAAATTAGAAGCAAAATATAGTGCACACGAGTTTGTTTAGATTTCTAACCTCTATCTATTATGACTTTTAATAACTGCATGATTCTAGATTTACTTTTAAAAAATAACAAATGATAGTTTCTCGAAAAACCAAAGTTTTTCTCTTACCTACTTAGGGAGTCATACTATTTGCCAGTAAACACCAATCAATAATTATTAATATTTATCAGAGGTTTAAAATTTTTCTTGAAATAAAAATTAATCCTTGAAACCATACATTTAACTTGTTCTCGCTAGCTACACCGCTACACTCGAGTGTAACAAGAGTGTAAAACGGAGCATGCGCACTTAAACAAAGTACAAAATCTAGCGAGAACGCAAAAGTGTAGAGAAAGTGCACGAAAAAATGAAAAAAAAATTAACGCTATCTTAATTGTAAACTGCATACAATCTGTAATATAGTTAGGTTTTATAAATAAATATATGGGTCATTTTATTTAAAACAAACCACCTTATAAACAATTGCCATTGTGAAGCAATTTTTTAAATAATTATTTCTCACATTTATTAAAGCCAAAATTTATTTACTATTAGTGATTTTAAGAGAAAAATTTATCAGTTTTATGATGTTAAAATTTTTTTTTTTAATAATAGGATTTATTCCTATTATTCCCTGTAAACTTTATAATGGGCAATTCATGGAAATTTGAGATATTAATTAAATTTTACAAGAATTTCGAAGGTTAAATGTATGTACCGAGCAGAATTTAATTTTTTCAAATTTTTACACAGTTTAAACTCTGACATCTTTGTAAAATTTAATTAATTTCTTAATTTCAACCGATTTTCTCATTATAATGTTTACAGAGAATAAAACTAGAATTTTTAAGCTTCATTTTCACATAGGTTTCAAGAAAAACGGAAGCGACATGTTTTGAAATATTCTAAAGGTTATCTTTCAAACTTAATTTTTTTCATAAATTCTATTATTTTTTAAAAAATATGTTTACCATCATAAAATTAAGAAATTTTTTTTAAATTCTATGTAGGGTAAGTGTACCAATTGCTGAGGGTGTTCCATTTGTCGATGTTACCATGGTAATAACCAAAAAATATTGTCTAAAATGTCTGATTTGTTTGTTTATATAATATTAATATATTTTTTTCACATTTATAAATAAAAAAATTAATATTTATTACTTTTTTTCATTTACAATGTGCTACACTGTTTAAATAAAATTCAAAGTTTGTTTACTCGACAACAGGAACCATCCTCGACAATTGGTACGTTTACCCTAAATAAAGTTTGGTTTTAAAATAAATGGGAAAATAATTATTTAAAAATTGCTTTACAATGTTAATTGTTTATAATGTGGTACTTTATATAAATATTAACAAAATAAGAATTGCTTACTAATAATTTTACAAATTAAAAGTCACTAAGAAATATATTATAATTTTATGTTCATAAAATAATTAATGCATTTTAAATAAAATGTCCATTTACCGCCATTTTAATCAGAACACTCAATTACACTCGCTCGCAATCGGGTGTAATAAAATAGGGAAAAGTGCACGGGCTTCTAGGGAGTTAGGTGTACACTATTGCGTCACTTCTGGTAACGAGAACGCCGTAGTGTACACTTTTGTACAAAGTGTAGAAAGTGTAGCTAGCGAGAACAAACCTATTAATTACCACCAGTATGAAGTGAGCTCTTCTTTGACAATTGATCTTTTAGTAGAAAAAGCTTTCAGTATGAAATAATTATTAATAAATTGTAGAAATTTAAATTTTACATTTTTTTTATGAACTTTTATTTAAATGTAGGATCTTTTAATTGCCACGGATTTATTAAATTATAAACAATATTTGTTATTGAATTTTCATTTTTTTGAATAAAGGAAGAGACCAGCATTCTAGTGGACATTGTGCAGTTGGTAGTACTGAATACTATTTAGGAATTTAGGAAAAAAATGGAATTACAGTTGGTAGCTTGTTTTAGTCTCACATGATCAAATGACAGGTTCCTGATGTCAATGTCGGTTCTGAAAGAAACTTAAAGTAGAAATTAGAATTTGTAGTAAAATTTAGTTTTTATGAATTCGATTAATTGTTTCTTTTAAATTTCTATTTCGTGAGTGATATATTTTACCATAATGAGATACATAATAAGTAATACCTTCGTGGGCACCGCCGTCACAACGATAGTAATCTTGGGTGTGCATCTCTATTTTATAAATAATTATAACACTTTAAGCTTTAAAACACGTGATACCATAAAATAAAGTAACATTTAAATAATCAATTGTTAATCATATTTTACTTGATTGGAGTAACATTGTAATATTTCATTACATTTGGAATTTCAAGGATTTCATTTATACCATTAAATTTTACCATTTAAAATAATGTATTTCTACAGTAATTAATAAACTAATTTATCAATAAATAATTCTTTAAAAAGAATCATTCACATATTTTGTCAAAATTTATCAAGTTTTTAATCTGAATCAGCTGAATCTTCTTAGGGAAGATTTAAACAATGAGTAGAAGGCTTTCAAATTGTCACATGATTGTTTTATTTTTCAGTTTTATATCATGTGTTCACGGGAAAAGGGGAAAGAGTTAGTGTGGCATGGTAAGTAAAAAAAATTTTTCTTTCTTTTTGTCTGTTTATTTTTATTATAGGTATTATAAATTTTAATCGAGTGTAAAAATTTCAAGGTTATTCCATCGATTTGATTATTATTTGATTTGTAATTTAATTTTGAGATAAATGGTTTCTTTTCAGGTTTCTGGAGGAAACTTCTCCTTATATGTGGTCGACTTTGGGCATCGGACTTGCTGTTGCCCTGTCTGTCGTAGGAGCTGCATTGTAAGTAAATACAACGAAGTGGCTATTTCGCCAGATGTCGGGCGAAATAAGAAAAATTTTTTATTTCGCCCGTTGTAAAAATACACAGTGTCGGGCGAAATAAGAGAAATATTTTATTTCGCCCGTCAGAAAAATGTATGAAAATAAACGGGCGAAATAAGAGAAATAGTTTATTTCGCCCGTTGGAAAATAAAAATTTGCTAAATTAGAAACTGGCGAAGTAAAATAAACTAGGTTAAATAGGTGGGAATTTTGAACTAAGTAAGTGCAATCGGAAATTGAATTTATTTTTAAATTATAAGATTTATTATTTATATTTATTCTGGACAATAAAAATAAACTCCTCCTATTTTCAAAAAGCAATTTAATAATTGTTAGTTGAGTTAAATTAATATTTGAAAAATAAAACATATAATACCAACCCCCAAAGAAAAAATGGATGTTTTAGACCAATAAAAATAATAAACAAACTCCTCCCATTTTCAAAATCAATTTTTCTATTTGTTGGTTGAGTTAAACAAAATGGAGAAAAAATTAATATTTAAAAAATAAATCATATAATTCCAACCCGCAAAAGGAAAAATGGATGATTTAGACCAATTAAAATAAAATTTAAACTCCTCCTTCTTAAAGAAAGCTATTTTTTCATTTGTTGGTCCAGTTGAAAAAATGGAAGAATATTTATAATTTTAAAAACATAAAATTTAACAACAGCCTCTCTCAAAAAAATAGACTGCTATTAGCCAATAAAAAAAGATTCAAACTCCTCCTATTTTCAAAATCAACTTTTTTATTTGTTGGTTAAGTTAAACAAAATGGAGAAAAAATTAATATTTAAAAAATAAATCATATATTTCCAACCCCCAAATGAAAAAATGAACGATTTAGACCAATTAAAATAAAAGGATATGACAAAAAATTTAGATCATGTGTGTTAATTGTACAAAAAGAAATAAATATTTTGATTGTCAATTTCTTTCTCGAGGATTGATATTGCTGTTAATCTAAATAATATTAATAATAGGTAATATTTAAATTATTTATTTTATTATTAAATAAATTTTATTTATTTTCTACAAAGAAATAAATAAAAAAAATAAATCTTATAATTTAAAAATAAATTCAATTTTCGATTGCACTTACTTAGTTCAAAATTCCCACCTTTTTAACCTAGTTTATTTTACTTCGCCAGTTTCTAATTTAGCAAATTTTTATTTTCCAACGGGCGAAATAAACTATTTCTCTTATTTCGCCCGTTTATTTTCATGCATTTTTCTGACGGGCGAAATAAAATATTTCTCTTATTTCGCCCGACACTGTGTATTTTTACAACGGGCGAAATAAAAAATTTTTCTTATTTCGCCCGACATCTGGCGAAATAGCCACTTCGTAAATACAAATTAAATAACAGGCAATTCTTCGCAGAAATTCAATTATATTAAAAAATTTCACTAAAATTCTATATAAAAATTAAATTACTTTCAATAAGATTTTAATTGAATTCGTCAAAAAAAAATTGTAAGATACCAATTATTCTCATAAATAATAAAATTCTTTACTGGAATTCAAGTATTTTCATAAATTCAATTATTTAAAATACAATTTTCATACATTTTTTTGAAAAAAATCAATTAAAAGAATTTTAATAAAATGCCTTGAAACAATTCAATTATTTTCAAAAAAAATTTCGAAATTCAATTATTTTCAATATCTATTATTTTAATAAAATTTCCCAAAAAAATTCAATTATTTACAAAAAATTTAAATAAAATTCTATACAAAACATTTAATTCGAATGTATGAATTTTCATAAATAATAAAAATTTCACAAAAATTCAATTTTTTAAAATAGAATTTGCATAAATTTATTGGAAAAAATCAATTATTTAAAACTGTTTTAGAAAAATCTGTGCAAGAATTAAATAATTTTCGCAATTAATCAAGTTTTTTAATGAAATTCAATTATTTAAAAAACTTTAATAAAATTCTTCACAAGAATTCAATTATTTTTATATAAAATACTTCTCAGGGATTCAATTATTTTCATAAATAATAAAACTCATAGCAAAAGATCAATTATTCTTAAAAATTTGAATAAAATTCTTAGAAACGATTCAATTATTTTCATAAGTAATAAAATTTTTACAGTAATTTAATTATTTAAAATACAATTTTCATTGCATTTTATCGAAAAAAATTAATTATTTAAAAGAATTTCATAAAAATTTTCGAACAAAATCAATTATTTAAACAAATTTTTATAAAATTCTTTATGGGAATTTAATTATTTTTAAAAAAATGTAATGCAATTCTTCGCTAAAATTCAATTATTTTCGTAAATAATTCGTAATCATCACAAGAATTCAAATATTTTCAAAAATTTTAATAAAAATCATGACAAAATTTCAATTATTTTCAAATAATTTTCTTACTTCGATGGTTTTCAATATTCTACTATTTTAATAAAATTTTTCGAAAGAATTTAATTATTAAACAAAAGTTTCTAAAAAATTCTATAGAATTTGCATAATTTTTTTCGCAATAATCAATTATTTTAAAATTTGACATTAAATTCTTCGCAGTAATTCAATTATTTTCGAAAGTAATGAAATTCAATTATTTTCAAAAATTATTTTAATCAATCAATTATTTTAAAATTTGTCATTAAATTCTTCGCAGCAATTCAATTATTTTCAAAAGTAATAAAATTCAATTATTTTCAAAAAACAAAAATTTTAATAAAATTCATTGCAAAATTTCAATTATTTCCAAAAATTTTTCTTAATTCAATAATTTGTATATCAATTATTTTAATAGAAATTCTAAAAAGAATTCAATTATTTAAAAACAATTTTGATTGATGTTTCTTAAATCGATGTTCTTTATATTTCTAATTTTTTATCAATAAATTGTATTTAAAGTTATTTATGAAGAGCTTTTGTATGTAGAAATTATAAAATTGTTTATAAGTACTCTCTAAATTTGAATTAGTGAAAATGTTTACTAATTTGAATTACTAAATGACTTTTTGCTTTTTAATTAGTAAATTTCACTAAAAAATTAGTAGAAATGATTATTTATTAATAAAATTTACTAATTCAAAAGCAAAAAGTCAGTCATTAAATCAAATTAGTAATTATTTTTATTAATTCAAATTTAGAGAGTAAGTAAAAATTTACTTGAAATAAACTATTATACTCGATTATAAATAACAAATATTTTGAAAATTAGTATCCTAAAAATGGACCTTGAAAAAAAGTTATTTTGAACCTTGAAAACCTTGAACAGTCCTTGAATTTTTTTTTAAGAATCGCTGGACACCCTGTTATAGAAAAATTCTTTTTAGAATTTATGAATTTATGAAAATTTAATTTCTGGACTTATTAAAACTTTTGAGAAATCATGGTCCTGTTTATAATTAAAATTCTTTAAAAATTTGATAATTTTTATTTATATTTTTCAAAAATTCAATTATTTTTAAAAGATTTTACCAAATTTTAATTGTTTGGAAAGTCAATATTGAAAAACTATTATCTTTGAGTATATTATACCTTAATATGGAGAGTTACAATTTATTATAAAGAATTGAGTTTTTGTATTTAAATAATTGAATTCTAGAAGAACTTTTGGAGAATTGTTTAAATTAATTTATTCATAGTTTGAAGTTTAGTTGAAAATTGTAGAACATAATTGAATTGAGGAAGGGTTATAATTGTAATTTTTAGAAATTATTAAAATTCATAAATTTTACTCATTTTCCGTAAACTTTCATATATATTTTCCTGTAAAAAGAATTTTGTCAGGGAAAATAATTTTAACCCTTAAACCGCACACTTCCGAATCCATCCTTAAACCGCACACTGGGTGTGCGACACCCGGGGACTTTAAAGTGTGTTCTCGAAGCTGGAAAAGGATATTATGGTTAAGAAAAATTATCTTATGTAGCTCAGTACATCTATTTTGAAGGAAAACAAGTTTCATAATGATTTATTTAATCTTAATAATTAAAAAAATGTTTTTTAAAACTACTGAAATCACCTTAAACCGAAAACTGGGTATCAGCCACCCAGAAATTTTTCGCTGTTAACTTCATAAAGTTATCAAATACACAAAGACACTTGGGAGACTAATGTCCCTCACGGAACATAAAGTTAAGTACAAAATGTGTCGTCCAATAGCGACATATGTTCAATTTTTACGACTTTAAACCAGATATTGGAGTAAAAAGCTAGAATATGGGTGTCGCACACCCAGGGTGCGCTTTAAGGGTTAATGTCAGTAAATTGTCAGGGAAATTTATATAGTAAAACTTGTGACCAACCTGTTTTTGTTACTCTTTTAAAATTAATTATCGAGTGCGAAGCCTGCAATAACATTTTATTGGTTTAGAAAATAAAAATTTGTTTTTATTTGAATTACAGGGGTATTCATACAACCGGTGTGTCTATTGTCGGTGGCGGAGTAAAGGCACCCAGGATCAAGACAAAAAATTTAATCTCTGTTATTTTTTGCGAGGCTGTAGCAATTTACGGCCTCATCACCGCCATCGTTCTGTCTGGCATGCTTGACAAATACGACGATGACGTGATTGCAAATAATCCCAGTGTAAAGCATCAGAATTGGTTTTCTGGTTACCTCATGTTTGGAGCCGGTGTTGCTGTCGGCCTCGTCAACCTCTTCTGTGGCATCGCCGTGGGAATTGTGGGTTCCGGAGCTGCACTCTCCGATGCAGCTAATTCTGCACTTTTCGTGAAAATCTTAATTGTCGAGATCTTTGGTTCCGCCATTGGCCTTTTCGGTTTAATCGTCGGCATTTACATGGTAAGGAAAACAATAATTTAAATTCTTGTGTTTATAAAAAATTGATAAATTTTATTTATTTATATAAATAAAAAAATAATAAATTATTCATTTCTTTTTCAGACTTCCAAAGTTAAAATGGGAAGTAAAGTCGGTTAATTTCTTGTAATCATTCCAGTTTCACGCGCAACAAGTCATAGTATTATAAATTTCATTTTGTCTAAATGGACTCAAGAAGTGTGTTATTTAATGATTTATTCTCCAGAGCCTAAAATGAGTAAAGTTGATGGATTTTAGGCCCTATCGTTCTATGTATATTGTTGATAAGATATAGTTCATTGTTGTATTAAAGTTCTCATTAATTCTTCATTAGAAGAAAAGTAAGTAAATTGTAGAAATCATTTTTTTTTTTTTAGAAGTCATCAATTAAAAGAAAATAAATGTATACAGTGTATAAGTATATATTTATTATAAAAATTGCTACAACCTCTGTAAAAATGAAGATAAATATATATATAATGAATAATATATAGATAACTATAAAAAATGCAACAAAAAACTTTTATTTAGAGAGCTTTTCAAAACTCAAGTAAAAAAAATTTGAAAACGTAGATTTAGATAAATATCAGAAATTTCAAGGAGAAATCACCACTTTCCGGATGTCTTCCAGCGCTGCTGTAAGATTTTTAACAAATTCTTTTGCGTTTTTATGTTCTGAATAACTTGTTATTAGTCCTCTTATTTCCTTATTCAGCATCATATACCTAAACAGGAAATAAAACGATTTGTCATACATAAAAAATAGAAACATTAATATAAGAGAGGAAGTTCAAAAGTAGAAAGTACCCAATTCCAAAACCTTCTGGAACAACGGGTCCAAATCCACCACCAAGCATAGCCGGAGTAGATAATGTGGATGTACATAAAATATTATAGTTTAACGATGAGAATGCTGGATCTTCAAAAAGGGGACTCTTACTTGAACCCAACTCTTCTTGCATTTTTTTTAATGCAAAGAGATGTCGATCAAAGCCCTGACCTGTAAAAAATTTACAAAAGAAATCATTAAAATTTCAAGAAAAATTCAGTGAAATTTTTCCAAATTGCAAAACAATCCAACCACTTTTATATTAATTATTATTAATATAAAAGTGGTTGAATTTTTTGAAATTTGGAAATTTTTTTTATAAGTTGCCACGCAACTTGGAAATCTGGAAAACCAGGGAATTTTATAAACCTTGAAAAAACCTGGAAAAAGTCAGCGAATTTTTATCGAAATCCTGGAAAATTATTGTTGTTTTCTAAAGTTATGGTGTTTATTCTTAAAATCTAATTTTACTTAAATATTTCAAAATTAATTCAATTTTAAAAGAATTGCGTTTACAATTTTCATAAGTAGATGAATTTCAAAAGATTTTGATTTGAAATTTTGTAAAATTTCAATTTTAAATTAATTTAATTAGAAATTTTAAAAAACGTAGATTTTAAAAAAATTTAACAACTAAAATTCTTCTGAAATTAGTTACATTTTTAAATATTTATTTAATTGATTATTAAAAATAATGGATTTATAGAAGAATTTTAGTTAAAAACACTAAAACAAATTTAATTTTGAAGCAATTACAAATAATTGCAGAAATTTAATTATTTTCGAAAGTATGTAGTAAAATATTCTTCTCAGAAATTCAATTATTTTCAAAAATTTTAATAAAATTCTTGGCAAAATTGTAATTATTTTCAAAAATTTTCCTCAATTCAATGATTTTTAATATCTACTACTTTAATAAAAAAAAACCCAAAAGAATTTAATTAGTTAAAAAAAATTTTAATAAAATTCTACGCAAACATTTTATTATTTTCATAAATAATAAAACTCCTCGTAGACTTTTTAATACAATACAATACTATTTTTAAAACAATTTTAATAGAATTTCTGGAAAAATGTAATTAATTTAAAAAAATTTATTAAAATTTATCAAAGAAATTCAATTATTTTAAAAACCTTTGCTACAATTTATTTATTAGAACTTATGTATTATTTTCAATACATTTTTAATTAAATTTCTTCAAAACATTTTTAATGTCTCCTATTTCAATAAAATTTTACAAAAGAATTCAATTATTTAAAAAGAAATTTTAATTAAATTATTCTTTTGAATTCAATTATTTTCAAAAATAATATAATTCTTCGCAGAAATTTAATTATTTTAAAAACCTTTGCTACAGTTTATTTATTAGAATTTAAGTACATATTATTTTCAATACATTTTTAATTACATTACTTCAAAGAATTCAATTATTTTCAAAAAATTTTAATGAAATTCTATGTAACAATTCAATTTTTTTCAAAATAATTTTAATAAAATTCTTCGTAAAAATTTAATTAATTTCGAAAATTTGTCAAAAACCAATTATTTTCAAAAATAATATAATTCTTCGCAGAAATTAATTTATGTTCAGAAATTTACAAAAATTCTCGTCAAAATTTCAATTAATCTTTATAAATAATAAAATTTTTCTCCAAAATTCAAAAATTTTAATAAAATTCTTGGCAGAATTTCAATTATTTTTAATACAATTTTCATCAAACTTCCCGAAAAATAAAATTATTCTTAAAAATTTTATTTTTTAAAGTCTCAAGAATTCAATTATTTTCAAAAATAATATAATTCTTCGCAAAAATTCAATTATGTTTACGAATTTACAAAAATTCTATTATGAGAATTGAATTTTAAGAAACATTCAATTATTCAATAAATTATTTATTTTTTGTATTTAAATATTTAAATTCTTTTTTTTTACATTTTTAAATTAACAAAATTTTTCAAATATTTTTATTTTTTAAATTTATTTTATGGATATTAAGCTCTTTTATAATTTTCTGACTCCAGACTCTACACTCCATCGTCAGGGCATAAAATTTAAGTCTTCGTCTATTTTAATTATTATTTTTTGGTAAGATAATTATCCATTAATACTTTTTTTATTTATTTATGGAGTTAAATAATTTTTTATTATTATTTTAATTTTGTATATAATTTTTATTATTATTTTAATTTTGCATATATTATTTTTTGATAGACCACCTTAAGAGGAAATCATTTAGATTTCGAAACGTTGGAGTAAATAAATATTTTATTCATTGTCCGAATATGTTGTCGTTTTATTTGCCTTAATTAAATTCTCGCAAAATTTTTTAAATTATAATTGAATATTGAAAGCATTATAGCGTGGATTTTTAGAAATAATTGAATTTGCAAATGGTTGAAATTAGTTAAATTTTCCAATATATATTTCATTAATTTTAATAAAAATAATGGATTTACAGAAAAATTTTAGTTAAAAACATTTTTAAAAATTGAATTTTGGAGAAGTTACTAATAATTGCAAAAATTCAATTATTTTTAAAAGTAATAAAATTCTTCTTTCAAAGTTCAATTATGTTCAAAATTACAATAAAAATTCTAGTAAAAATCACAATTATATCTTTATAAATAACAAAATTCTTCTCCAAAATTCAATTATTTTCAAAAAGTTTCCTCATTTCAATGATTTTCAATATTCTATACTGTTTTAATAAATTTCCCAAAGGAATTCGATTATTTAGAAAATTTTTAATAAAATTGTAGTCAAACATTTAATTATTTTCATAAATAATAAAAATTTTACAGGAATTCAATTATTAATTCAAATTTTTTATAAATTTCTTTGCAATAATTCAATTATTTTCGTAAATAATAAATTTTTTTATAAATTCAATTATTTTCATAAAAATAAAAATAATTCGTCAAAAGAATTCAATTATTTAAAAAATTTGTTGATTTAATTCTTTTCGATAATTCAATTTTAAGAAACATTCAGTTATTTAATGAAATATTTATTTTTGTTGTTAAATAATTGAATTCTCGTAGAATTTTCTAATAAATATTGTGATTTAAAAATTAATTTCACTTAAAATTTTAGATTATAATTGAATATTGAAAGCATTATAGAGTGGATCGATTTTTAGAAATAATTGAATTTGCAAAAGGTTTCAAATTAAAATCTTTGAAAATTTGAACTTTTCTTACTTTTGATTCAGAATTCTGTAGATAGAATTATTATAATTCGTTTCAAAAAGTTTAATAGAATTTTTTTTAATTATTTGGAGTTTTTAATTTCTAATACCTATATTTAATTGAAGAATATCAAAATAATCGAAATCTCTTAAAATTAAATGGTAAACAAAAGAATTTGAAAATTCTCAAAGAACCTTTTCAAAAATTATTTTAGAAAAATCGACTTAAAGAAGAATTTTAGTTGAAAATTCTAGAAATGAATAATCGAAATGATGAAAATAATTTTTGAAGAAGTTACAGTAGCAAAGTAGCAAGTTTGAATTATTATAAAATGTGAAGAAGGCGATCACTCGATATCTTCATGTTTTATAATAATATTCTTATATTATATTGAATTTGTAATTTTTGAAAATCTTAATTTTCTATGAAAAAATAATAATGATTAAATATTTATTTAAAAATGAAGTTATTGATGTTTTCGAATAATTTTTCAATTAAAGAAATTTGTAAATAAATGTTAATGTAAAACATTATTAAGTGTATCTATAATCATTTTGCGAGTGATTCAGAGTATTTTTTAGAATCAGGGAAAAAGTCAAAGTTTTGTCTGTAAATCAGTATGAGTTATTTAATTTAGTAAAATATAAATGTAGTTTTAAAAACGTGAAAAAATTTCGTTTTTTAACCTGTAAAAGCTGGAAAAGTCATCAGGGAAAGCGTGGCAACCTTGTAATAAATATTAAAATAAATATTTTACCCATAGCAGCATTCTTGACAAGTTCGGTGTGCGCCTTGCTACAATCAACAATCATCTTCTTCAACTCTGCGTTGGAAACTTCTGATGATTTTTCAGCCAAAATTGAGCAAACTTTTTTCGTTTGCTCCGTGCAAGGTCTCACAGTATCTGTGCGTCCGTGTTTAAAAGCGGCAGTGCTGCAAGACTCATAACTAGCAGCAGTTCGTCCCTCTTGTTTGTAAAATGCCAATTGAATAGCCAATTGAATTATTGCGTCGGGACTAGCACCAAACTGTTTAATCAACTCTTTTCCAAATTCGTCATATTTAATATAATCGACACTTAAAGAATCTGTCAATTCTTTGTATTTTTTCACTTCAAATTCAATCATATCTTTCACTTTTTCATCTACAGTAAACTCTAATGATTCTACATCCGGTTTTATTTTCGAAATTAACAATTTGTCTTCTGGTTGAAACCACCAGTGCTTCGAAATGTCAGTCTTCACGTCCTAGAATTAAATCGATATTAAATATTTTTCTTTAAGAATTTTAAGTTGAAAATTTTCTTATTTTTATCCTTTCTTGTAATATCTAAGAATGTAATCTTCACGTACACATAAATAGTAGTTTACATAATTTAAATTTTTTAACTAGCAACAATTCGCTCGCTAAAGCGCGCGGCTAACTTCTTACTACCTTTTTTAAATAAAATTAGTAATTTTAAAAATAATAGAATTTCAAAATTTCCTAATTTAAATTTATGTTGAAAACACTAAAAAAAATTAAATTTTGGAGAAATTACAAATAATTACAGAAATTCAATTATTTTCAAAAAAAAATAAAATTCTTCTTATAAAATTCAACCATGTTCAAAATTTGAAAAAAATCCCAATTAACTTTATAAATAACAAAATTTTTCTCCAAAGTTCAATTATTTTCATAAACGTCAAAAAAATTATTGTCCTAATTTTAATGATTTTCAAAAAATTTTCTAATTTTAATGATTTTCAATATCTACTATTTTAATAAAATTTCCCAAAAAGAATTCAATTATTTAAAAAAAAGCTTAATAAAATTTTATGCAAACATTTAATTATTTTCATAAATAATAAAAATTTGACTGCAATTCAATTATTTTCATAGATAATAAAATTTTTTTAAGGAATTCAATTATTATTTTCATAAAAAAAAAAAAAAATTTAAAACTCTGGAAAATAATAATTTAATTAAAATTCTTAATTCCCGTGGAAAATCCTGTTCCAAAAATAAGATTAAAAATAGGAATTGTGCAAATATTTTTCTTCTTTTTCTAAAACAAAATAATAATTTTGTTAAAAAAATTGTGATTCATAAAGAAAAATAATGCAAAATAAATAAATTTTCTATTTCTTAAGTGAATGAATGAAAGAAAGAACATTCAAATTATTATAGTTAATTTAAATTTTAAAATTGATTGAATTAGCGTTTGATTTGAATGAGAATGATTGGAAATTTAGATAATAATAATGAGAATTTAAAATGTAGATTGATTACAAATTCCATCAATGAAACTATTTGAACTTTCATAAATTAGTTGAAATAAAATGATTAATTGCAATATACATAATGAACTTACTTGAAAATATCTGAGAATAGCAATGCCATCACCCCAAGAATGTTCGAAATTCACAGCAGCAGAACCATCCTTGGTAATAATTAGAGAAAAAGATTTATCGAACCATCGATTTTTGCCGTCGCCGTGGAGAAAGTTGCGTAAAAGATTCATAAATTCTTGACTGAAATCTTCATCGTCTAAAATTAGAGCAAATGCTGCTGAATCGATTTTCTGCAAGACATCATTGTTTCCTATTTTCAAAAGATGTGCCCTCGCTTTCGCCCACTGATCTCTCTCAGATGTAGTGAAAATTCCAATGGGATTTTTTGAACTTCCTTTGTTGTCTCCGAGAATGAAATTCAAATTTGCGGCAATTTCCACCGGCGAAACTAGAGTACCATCAGGATTTATAACGTCGAAACAGTAAAAGTTACCGCCTCTCATTACCAGAATGTGACGAGCTGATTTTTCCAAAAAAATTCGATCTTTCCCAAATTCAGGAATTCTCGTCGAATTGAATAGATTCTCGTACTGGGACATGTCTAATGGAAAAGCCTAGAGGAAATAAGAGAGATTTCTAAAAATTTCAATTTTAAAACCTTCTGAAATTCAACTATTTTTAAAAATTGCAAACGCAACTCTTCCAAAATTCAATTCTTTTTTTTAAATTTCAAGTAACATTATTCACCAAATAATTTTATGAAAGTTCTTCTATAGAATTAAATGGTTTAAAATAAATTAAATTTCATATTCTGTAAAGTTTAAGTACACAGTCTTCCGATATGAAAAATAAAAAAAAAATATCTTCATAATCCCGAAAAACACGTTTTTGGAATATTCATTCAGGCCTCGGATATTATGATTTTTTCGACTTTTTTCGACTATTTCAAATCATGCGACTTTTTCGACTTTTCTTCCAAATTTTGCGACAAAATACCATAAGTTGCCACAAATATTTAATTTTATTTTTCCCTGACTTTTCCCTGATTTCCAGACAAAATTTTGACTTTTTCCCTGACCATAAAGAATATTCTGATTCACTCTAAAAATTATTAGATACTCAAAAAGACATTCTATTACATTTACTTACGAATTTCTTAAATTGTAAAATTATTCGCAAACATCAATAACTAAATTTTTAAATAAGTAGGTATTTAATTATTATTTTTCCATAGGAATTAAAATTCTTCAAAACATTCAAATTCAAACATTTTTAAAATTAAACAACTTATAAAAATTTTTATTTCCATAAAATTTTTCAAAAAAAAATTAAATTATTTACAAAAATTATAATAAAATTCGTTGCAAGAATTCAATTATTTTCATAAATAATAAAATTCTTCACATGGTTTCAATTATTTTTAATACAATTTTAAATAAATTTCTTGAAAAATAAAATTATCTTCAGAAATTTTTTGCAAGAATTAAATTAGGTACATTTCACAAATAATGGAATTCTCGGCTGAAATTTAAAAATTTTCAAAATTTACATTTTTAATACAAGTTTTCAAAGGAATATAATTATTTAAATAAAATGTAATAAAATTCGTTGCATATTCTCTTAAGTTTTTTGTAAGAATTTAATTACATTTCACGAATATAATGAAATTCTTTGTTGAAATTCAAATATTTTCACAATACTTTTTTTTAATAAAAGTTCTCAAAAGAATTCAATTATTTAAAAAAATGTAATACAATTATAACGATGCAGGAATTCAATTATTTTCATAAATAATAAGATTCTTTACATTATTTCAATTATTTTTAAAAAAAAATTTGAAAAAATTCATTGCAAGAATTCAATTAGTTTAATAAATTAATAAAATGCTTCACAGGATTTCAATTATTTTTAATACAATTTTAAGTAAATTCTTCGAAAGAATTCAATTATGTATTTTTAAAAATTCATGCTATAATGCTTTTAATATTCAATTATTATTATCTAAAATTTTAACTAATATTCATTTTTAAATCAATTTTGATTGGAAAATTCTACAAGAATTCAATTCTTTAAATAGAAAAATAAATAATTTATTGAATAATTGAATGTTTCTTAAATTTGAATTCTTATAAAGAACTTTATCAACATTTTTTAAAATAATTGAATTTTTACCAAAAATTGCATTAAAATTTTTGATAATAATTAAATTCATTGAAGAAATGTAATTGAAAATGAATTGAAAATAATGATTACAATCTAAGAAATAAATTATATCAAATTTTTTGAAATAATTGAATTTTTGCAACGAATTTTATTATTTATAAAAATAATTAAATTCTTGGGAAGAATTCGATTTATTTATGAAAATGATTAAATTCTTGTGAAGAATTTAAAAAAAATCTTTTCGTATAATTGAATTCTTTCGAAAAATTTTATTAAAATTATAAAGTGAAAATAATTGAATTGCTGAGAAGAATTTTATAAAATTTTTTTTAAATAATTTAATTTCTGAGAAGAATTTTATATATTTTTATGAAAGTAATTGAATTCTTGCAACGAATTTTATTAAAATTTTTAAAAATAATTGAATTCCTGAGAAGAATTTGATTATTTATAGAAATAATTGAATTCTTGGGAAGAATTTTATTTATTTATGAAAATAATTCAATTCTTTCAAAAAATTTTATTAAAATAATATTGAAAACAATTTAATTATTATAAAGGATTTCATTAAAATTTTTTCAAAAAATTGAATTCTTTTAAAGAATTTTATTAAAATTTTAAAAAATAGTTGCATTTTTCGAGAAATTTATTTAAAATTGTATTAAAAATAATTGAAATTCTACGATGAATTTTATTATTCATGAAAATAATTAAATTTTTGTAAAAAATGTTATTATTTATGAAAATAATTGAATTATTGCAAAGTTTGCTTAGAATTTTATCAAAATTTTTTTTTTAAATAATTGAATTCTTTTAGAAAATTTTATTAAAACTGTAGATATTGAAAATCATTGAATTGAGAAAATTTTTTTGAAAATAATTGAAATTTTGCAAAGAATTTTATGAAATTTTTTGAAAATAATTGAAATTTGGAGAAGAGTTTAATTATTTTTAAAGATAATTGAATTTTGACGAGAATTTTTTTAAATTTTTGAACATAATTGAATTTTTGCGAAGAATTTTATTACTTTTGAAAATAATTGAATTTCTGCAATTCATTTGTAACTTCTCCAAAATTCAATTTTTTCCAGTTACTTAAATAAAAATCCCTGACTTCCCTGACCAATTTCACTTTCCCTGACTTTTACCTGAACTCCCTGATTTCCCTGACCTGTGGCAAACCTGCATATTTTTAGTATAAAATGCAACTTTTTTCGATTTTTACGTGCAGTATAAAAAATAACTCTAGATAAATCTTTCGAAAATTATTTTTGAAAAATTGTTTCTAATTAAATTTTTGAAATATACAATTAAAAAGATTTTGAATAATTGAAATTTAGTAAAATTAATTAAAAATAAATGTTTTTTTTTCAAGTATATTTTATTATAATTTTTAAAAATTAACTATTATAGAATTTTTATTGAAAATTTTGGAAATAATTAAATTTTTAAAAATTTTTATGAATAATCTTCAAGTGTAAATTTGATAAAAAATGAAAATATTAAAATAGTTTTGAAAAAAAGTAATTCTCTGACAAAGTAATTTAAAATTTTTTTAAATTTACTATTTTAGAATTTTTTGAGAAATTAAATAATTGAAATTTATCAAAAATTTGATTATTTTTTAAAAACTAGAATTTTATTAAAATTCTAATTCATCTATATAATAATTTTAATAAAACTCTTTGCAAAATTCAATTATTTTTAGAAATTTTATTAAAATGTTTGCTAAATTTAATTATTTTAAGGAATTGAATTAAAATTCATTGCAAATTTTAATTATATTTCAAAGATTTTTCTAAATTTAAATTATTTTTTAAAAAGATTTTACAAAATTTAAATTAAAAAAAAAAATGTTTGTTATGTAATTGTAAAACTATTGCGTCTTTCAAAAATTATTTAGAAATATTTTTAAAAAATTAATTTTATGAATTTATTTATTAAAATATTTGAATACCTATATTCTATTTTAATATCTTTAAAAAGAAAAATGAACGGTTTCAATTATTATACAAAATTGAATTTTTGTATTTAAATAATTGAATTCTTGAAGAACTTTCGGAAAAATATTAAAAAGTAATATAGATAATTGATTTAGAAATGAAGTTTAGTTAAAAATTGTAGAAAATAATTGAATTTTTGTAAGGGTTATAGTTTTAATTTTTAGAAATTATTAAATTTCAGAATTTGAAATTTTTAAAATTTTATTTCCTGGTGAAAAAAGAAATAAAAAGTATTTAAATATTTTATTTAGCAAAATTATACAAATTTTGATTAATTGAATTTAGAAATCAGTGAAGAATTAGGGAAATAGAAAATAAAATATTTGTGACAACACTAAATTAAATAATCGATTTTTTCGACTTTTTTTTCTATTTTTAATCGACTAAAGCGACTTTTCTTGTTCGTTAAAGTCGATCCGAGGCCTGTTCATTCAAAATCTTATATTTTTGTTTTGTCTAACGCATCTGGGGCTTAAAGAGTGCACATTTCGAGTTTCAGACTTCGCACTCGATAATTAATTTTAAAAAAATAGCTTTAAAAGTAAAAAAATAGTATAAAGTAGATATCGAAAAATTAAACTTGACGACCAAAAAAACTTGTTTTCGACACTTCACAAAACTGACAAAAATTACATTCTATATTTTATTTTCCTGACTTTTTACTAATTTTCATAAAAAATATTTAATTCTTTTTTATTCTGCTAATAAATTGAATTTCTGCAACAAATTTTATTATTCATCAAAGAATTTTAATATTTAGAAAAATAATTTAATTCTTGAGAAGAATTTTATAAAAATTTTGTATTAAATAATTGGTTTCTTTCGACTAATTTTATATGCAAATTCTGATTTAAATAATTGATTTGCTGAGAAATTTTTCTTAATTCATGAAAAGAATGAATTCTTAGAAAGATATATTTACAAATTTTTTTTTAAATAATTGAATTCTGTTTGGAAATTTTATGAAAGTATTTAAAAATCATTGAATTGTGGAAAGTTTTTAAAAATAGTTAAATTTTACAAAGAATTCAATTAAAATTTTTGACAATAATTGAATGTCTGTGTGGTATTTTATTAAATTTTTTTGAAAATAATTAAATTCCTAAAAAGCATTTTATTATTTATGATTAAATAATTGAATTCTTGTGAACGATTTTATTAGAATTTTTTAAAATAATTGAATATCCAAGAAGAAGTCTTTTACTTTTAAAAATAATTGAATTCTTGTGATAAATATTATTATTTATGAAAATAATTGAATTTTGCAAAGAATTTTATTAAAATGCCTCAGCAAAATAATTGAACTTTCGGGAATAATTTTGATATTTATCGACAATAATTGAATTCTTTCGAAGAATTATTTTATGTAAAAAATTCAATTGTTGGGAAGAATTTTATTTAAATCTAAAAGAATAATTGAATTATTTTAAAAAATTTTTTTAAAATATTTGAAAATAATTGAATTCCTGTGAAAAATTCTAATATTTTTCTAAATAATTGAATTCTTTCAAAGAATTTTACAAAAAAACATTTTTTTAATTAATTGATTCTTTCCAGGAATTAAAATTAAATTTTTAGAATTACATTTCTCGAGCAATTTCTGTAATATTGTATTAGAAATAATTGAAATCCTGAGATAAATTTTATTATTTATGAAAATAATTGAATGGTTGCTAAGAATTTTATTAAAATTTTCAAAAATAATTGAATTCTTGACGAGAATTTTATTATTTATAAAAATAATTGATTTATTGCGAAAAATGTTATTAAAATGTTTCAAAAGAATTGAATTTCTGTGAAAAATTTTGTTATTTTTGAAAATAATTGAATTCTTCGCATAAGAAAAACAATTTTTTTTAAAAATATTTAAACATTGTTTTAAATAATTAATTTTTTCGAAATATAATAATTTTAGACAATTGAATTCTTGTGGAAAATTTTATTTGTGAAAATAAATGGATTTTTCTAAGAATTAATTTAAAATAGTATTTAAAAATGATTGAAATTTTTCGATGAATTTCCATGAAAAATGTTATTATTAGTGAAAGTAAATTGAATTATTTAATTGATTTTTTCGAAATTGTTTTGAAAATGCTATTTAATTGAATTCCTGTGAAAATTTTATTATTTATTGAATTAATTGAATTTTATCAATTTTTTTTTTAAATATTTGAATTGTTTTGCGAAATTTTCTGAAAATACTAGATATTGAGAATAAATCAAAGTTTTAAGGGGAAGATTCGTTTGCATTTTTAACTATATCAAGAAATAACAATGGTATTTTTTTAGCATTTTCAACATAAAGACAATGCTTTTTCAGAAAAAAAAAAATTCTTCAAAAATAGTAAAAATCATTTTTTTCATGTGACAAATTTTTGTGAATACAAAATCATATTTTCTACAAAATTACATATAGATTTTAAAGTTTATCAATTTTTAAGAAAAATAAAAATTAAATAATGGTCAAAATATTTTGACTAATTTTACCATTAAATTCCTCTCGAAAAATTAGTAGAAAAATAATTCTACGGAAGATTTAAATAATTTTCTTTTGATTTTACCATTAAATTCCTCTCGAAAAATTAGAAGAAAAATAATTCTATGGAAGATTTAAATAATTTTCTTGACTGTAGTTAAAAAATATAGGCGAGAACCCTCCCAGCAAGGATTCCAGTGCACTGAGAAAATAATTTCTAAAAAATGAATGAAAATTCCATAAAATACTATACTTTAAAAGCATACGCTCCGTAGCAGGAAATCCACGAAGGCAGCATGCTTATAATTGTGCGAAATAATTCGGTATTCGACTTTTTAGGATTCAAATGAAAAACTTCTGGTTCCAGAATTCCAGCCCTCAGTGATTTCATGAATCGAGCCGAAGAGACAATGAAATTCGTTGCTTTCACCAGTTGATCATTGTAGCGCTCGTCACTCTCTTGAGTGTAGATTATAATTGGATTGTAATTTATTGGCAATGGCCTTCGATCTCTCAGGTACATGTCGAACCAGTATTCGCTAATGTAACTAGTGTGCCGATTTTTTTTGTCCTTTTTAATTAATTCATTTTGAAATATCAGTCCTTCATTTTCCAAAAATTGATTGACGAAGGATTTTGTTTTTGTAAATTCTTCTTCACTCAGTAGAGGTTTTTGTGCGTTCAAATATCGTCGACAGGTGTCTTCCAATTTTGGAATTGGAAGTCGAGGCAAGGATGCCTGAAAATGCATTGTACGTATTTTGCTCCTTTGTATAAATTCGTAATCATTGTCAGTCTTGTGTTTCTCTTCAGTTGAGCCTCTGCATGAAAAAAGGTACATTCAAATTATTAATATTGGAACATTCAGTGAAAATTTTATTGAGTTTCGCTTACGAATCAGCAGAACTCTTTTTTTCGTATTCATCATGCTTTTTTGATTATTCTGAAAAACCAAAAGTAGGCACCTCGTTTGTGGAAGAAGGAATAGCAGGGTAAAACTTTCCTGAATCTGAAATCATTTTTATGAAACATTAATATGGATATTTTATGCGAAAATTATTTATAGCTACATTTTTCAAATTTACAAATTTTTGCAATTCTAATTCCTTATATGTGCTCTAAAAAATTTATGCAGATTCATCAGGGTTGCCACGCTTTTGATCTTTTATTTCAAATTCCCTGACTTTTCCAGGTTTTCCAGATTTTTAAAACGAAAATTATTCGAAAATATCAATAACTTCATTTTTAAATAAATCATTATTATTTTTTTGTAGAAATTAAGATTTTCAAAAATTTCAAATTTAATAACATATAAGAATATTATTATAAAACTTGCTACTTTGCTACTGTAACTTCTTCAAAAATTATTTTCATCATTTCGATTATTCATTTCTAGAATTTTCAACTAAAATTCTTCTTTAAGTCGATTTTTCTAAAATAATTTTTGAAAAGGTTCTTTGAGAATTTGCAAATTCTTTTGTTTACCATTTAATTTTAAGAAATTTCGATTATTTTGATATTCTTCAATTAAATATAGGTATTAGAAATTAAAAACTCCAAATAATTAAAAAAAATTCTATTAAACTTTTTGAAACGAATTATAATTCTATCTACAGAATTCTGAATCAAAAGTAAGAAAAGTTCAAATTTTCAAAGATTTTAATTTGAAACCTTTTGCAAATTCAATTATTTCTAAAAATCCACTCTATAATGCTTTCAATATTCAATTATAATCTAAAATTTTAAGTGAAATTAATTTTTAAATCAATATTTATTAGAAAATTCTACGAGAATTCAATTATTTAACAACAAAAATAAATATTTCATTAAATAACTGAATGTTTCTTAAAATTGAATTATCGAAAAGAATTAAATCAACAAATTTTTTAAATAATTGAATTCTTTTGACGAATTTTAATCAATTTTTTAAGAATAATAACATTTTTCGAGGAATTCGATTAAAATTGTACTAAAAATAATTAAAATTCTGCAATGAGCTTTATTATTTATGAAAATAATTGAATTCTTAAAACAAATTTATTATTTATAAAAATAATTGAATTTATAAAAAAATTTATTATTTATGAAATTAATTAAATGTTCGACTACAATTTTATTAAAATTTTTTTTAAATAATTGAATTCCTTTTGGAAATTTATTAAAACAGTAGAATATTGAAAATCATGGAAATGAGGAAACTTTTTGAAAATAATTGAATTTTGGATAAGAATTTTGTTATTTATTAAGATAATTGTGATTTTGACGAGAATTTTTTTAAAATTTTGAACATAATTGAAATTTTAGCGAAGAATATTATTACTCTGAAAAATAATTGAATTTCTGCAATTATTTGTAACTTCTTCAAAATTCAATTTTTAAAAATGTTTTTAACTAAAATTTTTCTGTAAATCCATTATTTTTAATAAAATTAATAATTAAATATATGTTACGGTCATTGTCGATTATTGGGCATTGTCGACAATGCCCACAGTCACTGGACAGTGACAGTGCCCGGGCATAGTCAGTAATACCCGGGCAATGTCGTCATTGCCCACTTACTTTTGGGCAATGTTATTTACGAATAAAAAAAGACGATTATCAGTTATCCTGTCTTGCAGGTGCATCTTTTATACACTGTTAGAAATTTTTGTAGGATTTTTCGGAAACAAGCAACGGAAGTTTTATTTATTTAAATAATTATTCTTAAAATTTTTCTATTGCACTAGATTTTCAGTAAAAAAAATTATTTAACCTTAAAAATATTTAATAATAATGCTAATGTTTAAAAATTATTTATTTACGGTTTATAAATAAATTTGGTCAAAAAATAACTGATAAATAATATTAATAATATGTATTTATTTCTTACTTTTTATACACAAAACTATTTATTCAATCAAATAATATTAATCATTCATTTATTAGTAATTAAATTTCATAAACATAATTCAATAAATAGTTTAAAACTGAAAATTTTGTTACAGTTTCGTAATTTTCAGTTACTCTTTATACTTTTTGAAACTATTCCCAAATTTTCAGTTACATTTCATTAAATTTCCTTAACTAGTTAATGATTTTAGTTTGACTGAAGTTATAATTCCGCTACTCATTAAAGATTTTTACTAAAAATGTAATGTAAATGTAAATTTTGTATACGTTATTGTGTGATTAGTTTTGTATATAATCATGACGTATGAAGCTATTATATAGAATTTTCGACATTGCCCAAGATGGACCGGGCAATGTCGACATTGCCCGAAAAGTTAAATGATATGAATATTTTTAGATATTGACCGGGCAATGTCCAGTGACTGTGGACATTGTCGACTTTGCCCGGGCATTGTCGACAATGCCCAATAATCGACAATGACCGTAACATATATATTGACAAATTTAACTAATTTCAAGAAGAATTTAAATTATATTAACATTTTGCAAAAATATAAGTTTTTTAAAATTTCCAATTAAATTCATTAAAAATTAAAATTTTATAAAATTTAAAATTAAAACCTTTTGAAGTTGATGCATAATTCAAACTGTTATAAAATGATTATTTAGAATGTGTGGCTACGTAAAAAATGACTATATACACCAAAAAATATCTTCACTGAACATTTATTGCAGAAACTTGGAACAAATTGTTTATTACAAAAAATTTCAATATTAATAATAGTCTTTGACAAATAATCACTCTAATAAGAAAAATAATAATTCATGTCAATATCATTCGAAACCGTGTCGAGTACTGATTCTCGTGAATTAGAAAAATTACAATTACGTGAAAATTATAAATTCGTCTACATTCGTACGTCGTCGATAATAATCGTCTCTATATTTACACTTATTTTCATCAATCCATTCAACAACATAAATAAATATTTAATTAAATAATTGAATGTTTCTTAAAATTGAATTTTCATAAAGAATTTTAGTAACAAATTTCTAAATAATTTGAATTCTCTTGACAAATTTTAAATTTTTTCAGAATAATTTCATTTTTCGAGAAATCTAATAAAAATTGAGTTAAAATTAATTGAAATTCTGCCAAGAATTTTATTAAAATTTTTGAAAATAATTAAATTTTGACAAGTTTTTGAAATTAATTAAATTTTTACCAAGGATTTCATTAAAATCATTTTTAAAAAAATTGAATTGTTACATAGAATTTCATTAAAATTTTTTAAAATAATTTTAACAGAATAATTACATTTTTCGAGGAATTCCATTAAAATTGTATTAAAAATCATTGAAAGTCTGCGATGAGTTTTATTATTTATTTATGAAAATAATTGAATTCCTATCAGAAATGTTATTATTTATGATAATAATTGAATAATAATTTATGAAAATAATTTTTAAATAATTGCATTTCTGTGAATTTTTTTTTATTATTTATGAAAATAATGAATTTTTTGCGTAGAATTTTATTAAATTTTTTTTTAACTAATTGAATTCATTTAGGAATTTTTATTAAAGGAGTAGATATTAAACAAGTTGTTCATTTCATGATCATTAAGCTTCCTCAATATAATATATACCAATCGTTTAATTTTTTATTTTAGAATAATTATTTTAAAGTGTTAAGATAAAATTTCAAAAAATACAAAATTTCAATTTTTTGTGAAAAATTAAAATATTTATTAATTCTATAAATTTGAATAAAATATATACTTTATATACATGAATCAATTCGTTTTTATGTCAGGAATGCAATTTTGCCAAGAATTAATAAAAATTTTAATATAGAAAAAAGTTATTTCAAAAAATCCAAAAATTAATTTTTTCAAAAATTAAAAAATTGTTGAAAAAATTTTTTTTTTTAGATATTTTCGAAAATCCTTCTGTCTGATTTTTGGTATTCGTGACCGTAATACACCTACAAAATTTTATCAAAATCCGTCAAGACGTGTAAGAGAAAATTTGTCCACAAGAATCGGTGACATACACACACACACACACATCCGGACATTTGTTCCTCTCGACGAATTATATATACTACACTTGAAAATTTGTAAAAATAATTGATTCTAAAAAATTCGGAAATCGACATCACTATAAGGCTTCCTTTATGAGGAAGCAAAATCATTGAATTGAGGAAAGTTTTTGAAAATAATTAACATTTTGCTAAGAATTTTATTAAAATTTTTGAAAATAATTGAATTTCTGAGAAAAATTTTACTATACATTCGAAAATAATTAAATTTCTGCAATGATTTGTAATTGCTCCAAAATTTATTTTTTTTTAGTGTTTTTAACTGAAATTCTTATATAAATCCATTATTTTTAATAATCAATTAAATAAATATTTATAAATGTAACTAATTTCAGAAGAATTTTAGTTGTTAAAATTTTTTTAAAATCTAAGTGTTTTATAATTTCTAATTAGATTAATTTAAAATTGAAATTTTACAAAATTACAAATCAAAATCTTTTGAAATTCATCTACTTATGAAAATTGTAAACGCAATTCTTTTAAAATTGAATTAATTTTGAAATATTGAAGTAAAATTAGATTTCAAGAATAAACACAATAACTTTAGAAAACAACAATTTTCCAGGATTTCGATAAAAATTCCCTGACTTTTCCAGGTTTTCAGATTGCGTGGCAACCCTGTTCATAAGTTTTATTTAAAAAATAAATATAATTATAATATAAAATGAATAAAAAATGAAGAATTAGTCTATAAATAGTAATATTCTTTATATACATCTATATTAACATTGTAGTGAACAATGACAATGTAAAATTTGAAACGCAATTGATAAGCTTATTGTTTGCAAATGCATGTAAAAGATTATTCTTTCTATTTTCAGATAGTTGTTATAAACTAATGCATAAAATTTGTGTACATAATCACTTACCATTGTGCGAATAGAATGTAAAATTCTTCTTAAAAAAATGAATACCATTTTTAAAAAAATGTATTGTTTTAAATATTGTAGTTTTCACTATTTGAAAAATGTATGAATAAAAAAGTAGCAAAAATATTTATTTGTATATATGGTATATATGTTTTGAGCCAATTTCACGAACAATTCAGGTTTACGATGTTAATGTTTGCATAAGAAAGATAAAAGTGACAATTTCTGCACTCTTTTCGAGGGTTTGAAGCCCGATGGTCTTTAACATTTCATTTCATAATGTTACATAACCCTTTCTCCTGATTTTACGATTTTACCGATTTTACATATAACTTATAGAAACTGGGGGAAATTTATTTCAAATTAATTATGATTCAGAAAACGAAGAAAGTTATTTGGAAAAATAAGATTTTTTTATTCATCTATTTCTGCGGCATAAGATGCTGCGCTTTTGTGAAAATTGTAATTTAATATAAAATATATTATAAATTAATATAACTTAATACTAATATAAATGTTTCAAAACTTTTGAAAAAATTATTTTTAACATTTACTCATAAAGTTAATATTTTTCAAATTCAAAATTCTATCAAATGGAAATCAAGTCTAGTATTAAAATTTAACATTAAACATATTAGGAATCGATATTGAAGCTCTACCAAGTTGTTGAATGCATAATTCCAAATTTAAGTTAACAAATTTGCTAAATTTTGAAAATTTAATATTTGCATGATTATTGCATGAAAAAAAAAATGTGAACAAGGTTTATAAAAAACAAATTCATTCAATGTGTCAGTATAATTTAATTGCAAATTCTTTAAAAAACTTTGTATAAAGTCGTCAATATATATATTTATAAAAGTATATAACAAATTGTATAACAAGAAAACTTCTTCCATTGTCAAAAAATATTCTATGGCTATGACATATTATTTATAAAACTTTAAAAGGCATGTTCATTTAAAAATATATTTAAAAATACTTTAGATCAATATGATCAAGTCTTTCATTAAAATTTAAGGCGAAATCATCACTCTGTGAATATCTTCAATAGCTGCTTGAAGATTCTTAACATATTGAGTTGCATTTCTGTGTTGTGTGTAACTTGTTACCACTGCACCTAATCTTTTATCCTGAATCATGTACCTAAAAAGGAAAAGTATATTAAAAGTGGATATCAAATTATTTCTGGTGTACAACAGAAAAGAACAATAAAAATAAAAATCAGGGAAATTTTTCAAATTGAATGAAATCGATAAAATCAAACATTCGAATTTAATTTAAAAAAATATTTAAAAAATCAACGTAACAGAATTTGATAATTGATATATGTAATAAAATTTATATTGAACAGAGCTTTTATACTGATGAATTTTTAGTTAACCGAATTTTTATTCAACAAAATTTCTATTTAGTCCAAGTTTTATGAAGCAGATTTTCTAGTTTACCAAATTATCATTTAACAAAATTTCCATTCAACTGAGTTCACATTTAACAAAATTTCTGTTTAACAGGACTTTTAGTAAATTGAATTTTCATTAAACAAAATTTTTATTTCAATAAATGTTCCATGTAGCATAATTCTCATTCAATTGAATTTCTACTCAGCCAAATTTTTAATAACAGAATTTCAATAGCACCAAATTTTGATTTGCTCCAAACCTTATTTTAACGAGTTGTCAGTTAATTAAATTCTTCAAAAAATTGAATTTTTATTTGTCAAAACTTTTAATAGAAACATTTCAGAGTGGGTTTTAAAATTGACCAATTTCAATTTTTTTTTAATATTTTCAAATATATGTCAAAATGTTTTGTCGAATGTTTAGGCAAATGAAAGATTTGTCCAACGAGAATTTAGATTTTTAATAATTACATAAAATAACATTTTGTGACAATAATAAATGTTGACACCACTGGAGATTTCGATAATTAAAAATTCTAAAACTTGAAAATTCAACTAAATAGAAACACAATTAAATAAAAATGGTAATTAAATAGAAATTCCACATGAAATAAAATTTCTATTAATAAAAAATTTGGGTTAATATAAATTTTATTGAACAAAAAATCCGTTAGATAGATATTCAAATTTAGAAAAATTATCTTCAATATATAAATTCTGTTAAATGAAAATTCATCGAACTATAGAGAATTTACAGGGTGTCCAGCGATTCTTTAAAAAAAATTCAAGGACTTTTCAAGGTTTTCAAGGTCAAAAATAATTTTTTTCAAAGTTTATTTTTAGGGTACTAATTTTCAAAATATTTGTTATTTATAATCGAGTATAATAGAGTAAGTTCTGTTTATTAGTTTTCCTCAATAAGTGTATTTCAAGTAAATTTTTTAGAAAATATCAATTATTAAAGAATTTTAATAGAAATCTTAAGAACAACTAATTACAGAAATTCAATTATTTTCAAAAGTGATAAACTCCTTCGCATAAATTCAATCATGTTCAAAAATGTTTATAGCTTCTCGTCAAAATTTTAATTATCTTTATAAATAATATAAAATTCTTCTCCGAAATTCAATTATTTTGAAAAATTTTAATAAAATTCTTGGCATAATTTCAATTATTTTCAAAAATTTTCCAAAAGAATTTTATTAGTTAAACAAAATTTTAATAAAAATTTAACAGGAATTCAATTACTTACCAATTTTTTTTATAAAATTCTTCGCACCAATTCAATTATTTTTAATTTTTTAATGAAGTTTCCCCAAAGAATTCAAATATATTTAGAGAAAAAAATAGTTCTAAGAAATTCAATTATTTCGAAAAATTTAAATAAAATTATTTTAAAAGTTCTATTATTTTAAAAAATTTTGAAAAAATTCTTTAGAAGATTTAGTTAATAAAATTGCAATTTTGATAAAATTTTCCTATACAATTCAATTATTTTCAATACAATTCTTCTTAAGAATTCAATTATTTTTACAGATAATAAATTTTTTATGGGAATTCAATTATTTAAACAAATTCGAATAAAATTCTTCGCAAGAAATCAATTATTTTCATAATAAAATTAATTAATTAATTTATTTATTTATCAATTATTTTCATAATAAAATTTTTCTTGAACTCAATTATTATAAAATTTTTTGATAAAATGCTTTATAAATTTGAAAAATTATAATAAAATTGATCATAGAATACAATTATTATTTTTGTAAAATATAACATCCTTCTTAGGAATACAATTATTGTCAAAAATGTTTATAAAAATCTTCGAAACAATTCCATTATTTTCGTAAAAAATAAAATTCTTCGAAGCAATTCAATTATTTAAGAAATTTAAATACATAAAATTCTTCCCAGGAATTTAATTCTTTTCAAAAATAAAATTCTTTCCAAGAATTCAATTCTCTTTAAAAATAGAAATTTTCACAGAAGTTCAATTATTTAAAAAAACATTTAATAAAATTCTTCACTAGAAATCAATTGTTATTTTCAATTATTTTCACAAATAAAATGCTTCACAGGTATTCAATTCTTTAAAAACAATTTTTAATAAAATTCAAATATAGTAGAATTTTTTTAAAACCTTTTGTTTAATAATTAAATTCTTTAGGGAAATTTTATCAAAATAGTAGAATATTGAAAATCATCGAAGTAAGAAAAATTTTTGAAAATAGTTTAAATTTTGCCCCATGATTTTTATTAACATTTTTGAAAATATTCGAATTCTTGTGATGAATACTATTGTTTATGAAAATAATTGAAGTATGCAATGAATTTTATTAAAACTCCTCAAAATAATTGAACTTTGTCGAAAATTATTGTTATTTATTTATAAAGATAATTGAAATGTTGACCACAATTTTTTTTCAAATTTTTTGAATATAATTGAATTTCGGCGAAGAATTTTTATAGTTATAAAGATAATTGAAATATTGACGAGAATTCAACTTAAAACATCAAGGAAATAAATCTCATTTTAATAAATTGAAACATCCAATCGTTAGTAAATTGCATTAAGAAATTTGTTTTTTAAATTTTATATCATTAGATTTTAATTGAAATATATTATCTGTAACAGAAAATTTTGTCAGGAAAATTTTTTTAAAGTTAGAGAAATGTCAGGGAATTTGGAAAACTGATTCTTGTGGCAACCTTGGTGTAAATGTATGTACAGAAAAAAGAAAAGTAGATTATTTACCCGATACCGTAACCGTCAGGAACAACAGGTCCAAACCCACCAGCCAACAAAATCGGAGTTGATAATGTCGATGTGGACAAAATATTATAATTTATTGCAGAAAACGCTGAATCTTCAAACAGATCCGATTTATTTTCTCCGAATTCCTCTTGCATTTTTTTCAATGCAAAAAGATGTCGATCGAAACCCTGACCTGAAAAGAAAACATTTCAAGAAAAATTGAGTTTTACATTAAAAAATATTAAAATTTGATATTTAAAATAAATATTTTACCCATAGCAGCATTCTTGACAAGTTCGGTGTGCGCCTTGCTACAATCAACAATCATCTTCTTCAACTCTGCGTTGGAGACTTCTGATGATTTTTCAGCCAAAATTGAGCAAACTTTTTTCGTTTGCTCTGTGCAAGGTCTCACAGTTTCTGTGCGTCCGTGTTTAAAAGCGGCAGTGCTGCAAGATTCATAACTAGCAACAGTTCTACCCTCCTGCTTATAAAATGCTAATTGAAACGCCAATTGCATTATAGCATCAGGACTGACACCAAACTTTTTCACTTCATCTTTACCGAATCCTTCGTATGTCATGTAATCGACACTCAGCGAATCAACCCAATCCTTATACTTCTTCCCCTCCAACTGAATTACATTTTTCACCTCTTCATCTAAAGTAAACTCTAGTGACTCCACGTCCGGGTTTATATTTGAAATTAATAATCTGTCTTCCGGTCGGAACCATAAGTGCTTAGAAATATCAGCTTTAATATCCTGAAGAAAATTGAAAACTTGCTTTAAAATGAAAGCAAAAGGTTTTTTAAAAATTAGAAACAACAAAGATTTTACATACTTGGAAATATCTGAGGATCGCCACTCCATCACCCCAAGAATGTTCAAAATTGACTCCAGCAAAACCGTCCTTAGTAATGATGAGAGAAAATGATTTGTCGAACCACCGATTCTTACCATCGCCATGAAGAAAATGATGTAAAAGTCCTTTGTACTCTTCGCCGATATTTTCGTCGTCTAAAATTAAAACAAACGCAGCTGAATCGATCTTTCGCAGAATATCGTCATTTCCAATTTTCAAAAGATGGGCTCTCGCTTCCGCCCATCGATTTCTATCGCTACCAGTTAAAACTCCCACTGGATTTTCTGACTTTTGCTTCTTGTCTTGAAGAATAAAATTTAAATTGGCAGCTATTTTTTTTGGTGCAACTAAACTGCCATCGGAATTCAATACCTCAAATGAATAGAAATTTCCACCTCGCATTACAACTAAATGACGAGCTGATTTGTCCAAGAAAATTCGATCTTTGTTTTGTTCAGGAATTCTCGTTGAATTAAATAGATTTGCATATTGCGACATGTCCAGTGGAAAAGCCTGTAAAAATTATTGAAAGCTATATATTTAAAATTTTACAAACTCATAAAAATAAAATAAAAATGGCGATACGACAGAAATTCCCCCCCCCCAAAAAGAGAGAATTTTTTAAATAATTAGAGAAAAGCGGGCTGTAAAAAATCTTCTTCATATTTACGCAACAAAGTTTGCAAATAAGCATTGAAAGAAATATTTAGCTGAATCCATTTCAAGCAAACCGACTAACTTCAAGCCTTACATTTACCTGTCAATAAAATATGTTATTGTTTATGAAAAAAAAGACAAGAATAATTTTTATTTTACATAAAAATTATTTTTACCGAAGTATACATTCATCAAAGTTGCCACAAAAATTTAATTTTGTTTTTCCCTGATTTCCAGACAAAAATTTGACTTATTCCCTGACCCTGAAGAATATTTTGGTTGACTCCAAAAATTATTAGATACTCAAAAAAATGTTCTATTACAATTATCTACGAATTACTTTAATTTTAAAATTATTCGAAAACATCAATAACTCTTTTTTTAAATATAAACATTTAATCATTAATGCTTTTAATATTCAATTATAATCATTATCGTTTGAACCCGTGTAAGATTAAATAAATAAATAAATAATTTGAAATTTTTAATGAAATTCATTTTTTAATCAATTTTTATTAGAAAATTTATCGAGAATTCAATTATTTAAATAGAAAAATAAATAATTTTTTTTAAATTAATTGAATTAAGTTTCTTAAAAATTGAATTTTTATGAAGAATTTTATCAAAATTTTTAAAAATAATTGAATTCTTTCGGCGAATTTAAAAAAAAAATTTAAGAATAAATGCAATTTTCTATCATTTTATTTAAAATTGTATAAAAAATAATTTAAATTCTGCAAAAAGTTTTGTTATTTATGAAATTAATTAAATTCTTGTAACGAATTTTAATAAAAAATTTTTTTAAAGAACTGAATTCGTGTGAAGAATTTTATTTGTGAAATTAATTGAATTCCGGAGAAAAATATTATTATTAATGGAAATAATTAATTTTTTATGAAGAATTTTATTCAAATTTTGTTAAATAATTGAATTTCTCAGAATTTTTTTTAAAACTTTTTGAAAATAATTAAATTTCATCGAGAAATTTCATTGAAAAATTGAAAATAATTGAAATCTGACGAAGAATTTTATTAAATTTTTTTTTTAAATAATTGAATTCCTGTGGAAAATTTTATTTTTGAAAAGAATTTAATTCTTGGAAAGAATTGTATTAAAATTTCTTAAATAATTTAATTGCTTCGAAGAATTTTATTTGTTACGAAAATAATTCAACTGTTTCGAAGATTTTTACAAATATTTTTGACAATAATTGTATTCCTAAGAAGAATGTTATATTTTACGAAAACAATTGTATTCTATGATCAATTTTCTTATAATTTTTCAAATTTATAAAGCATTTTATCAAATTTTTTTAAATAATTGAATTCTCGAAAAAATTTTTATTATTTATGAAAATAAATGATTTCTTGCAGAGAATTTTATTCAAATTTTTTTAAATAATTGAATTCCCATAAAAAACTGTATTATTTGTGAAAATAATTGAATTCTTAAGAAGAATTGTATTAAAAATAATTGAATTGTATAGGAAAATTGTATTAAAATTGCAATTTTAGTAACTAAATCTTGTAAAGAATTTTGTCAAACATTTTTTTAATAATGTAATAGAATTTTCAAAAAAAAATTTTATTTAAATTTTTCGAAATAATAATATAATTTCTCAGAACTATTTTATTTAATTCTCTAAATGTATTAGAATTCCTGCGAGTAACTTCATTAAAAAATTAAAAATAATTTGACTTGGAGTGAAGAAATTTATAAAAAAATTGGTAAGTAATTGAATTCCTGTAAAATTTTGATTAAAATTTTGTTTAAATAATAAAATTCTTTTGGAAAATTTTATTAAAATAGAAGATATTAAAAATAATTGAAATATGGAAAATGTTTTGAAAATAATTGAAATTTTGCCAAGAATTTTATTAAATTTTTTGAAAATAATTGAATATCGGAGAAAAGTTTTATTATTCATAAAGATAATTGAAATTTTGACGAGAATTTTTAAAAATTTTTGACATAATTGAATTTATGCAAAGAAGTTTATCACTTTTGAAAATAATTGAATTTCTGTAATCAGTTCTTAAAATTTCTATTTAAATTCATTAAAAATTAATATTTTTTTAAATTTCAAATTGGAATCTTTGAAGTTCATCTATTTATGAAGATTGTAAACGCAAATTTTTTAAAATTTTTAAGTAAAATTATTTATCAAATAATTTATACGTAACAATTTTATGATAGTTCTTCAAGAATTAAATTATTTAAAAAGAAATTGTTGTCAGAAATAGACAAAATTGAAGTTTTTGTATTATAGTTCTTGGCAATTTCATAGTTTATGAGGCAAACAAAAAAGACACCAAAAATCAGAATTTTCTTATAAATTCTAAAAATTTAATTTTTTCCAGTACTTTTAATTAAAATCCCTGACTTTTCCCTGATTTCCCTGACCAATTTTACTTTCCCTGACTTTTCCCTGACTTCCCTGACCTGTGGCAACCCTGATTTTGCATTAGTCTTATCTTTATTAAAATCAATTTCTTGATAAATTTCTTTTCTTGATAAAATCACTTTCTTATAAGTTGTGACGGGAAAGTCATTCTGACGTTATTTCAAGCCATATATTGATCAAATATCTTTTTAATAAGGGTAAGGGTTGTAAGGTCAATAGTTCGCCCCTGCGACCTTACATCGATTGAAGCGCCAATAATTCGATCAATTGACGCATTACCAAATTTTCAAAAAGAGCACGTTACTCTTTGTTCGACCGTTGTTGTATGTAACTGCTTAGTGTGATCTCAAAATTGATATTGTAACTTTTGTTTGAGTGGTTCGATGTGACTTGTAAAATCTTGATTTGAGAGAGAAAGATCGACAAGAGTCGATATTTGATCAACAATACGTAAGTGGTTAATGTTCTTTTGATTTAATAAATTAATTTTTTCGATTTTTGGAAGACGTATATAAAAGGTAAAAGAAAAACACTCTTTTACTTCTTTTGATTTATTTAATAAATTTGTTTTATTCCTGGAAGTCGCTTGATCTTTATTTTATATTATTTTGTTAGGGTTCCCCAACGCTACCCTCCTTGTGATCTCGTGTCTAATTTATTTATCTGTGTTTTGTTAATTTCATAAAAATTAACTGGCGTCCGCGTATTTATTAATATTTTCTTCTCGCCAAATAGAGCTCCAGCAACTCTGAACCCGGTCGCGCTGGATGTGAATAGAATTTGTTTAATTTATTTTTGATCAGATTTATCTTACTCTTTTATTTTACTTAATTTAATATATTTTTATTCTTAAATTTCAATATAAAAATTCTATTCGTCTCATTTGGCGCCCAACGTGGGGCACGTTGGATTTTGTTTGAATATTTGCCAATAATTTTGAATTTTGTGTGCAGATTAAATTTTCTTTAATAATTTTGAAATAAAATTTTGGAATGATGAAATTATTAAAGTGTTTAAATTGTGATTTTGTATGTTCGAGTATTTGGTCTGTGTTTATATTTATTGTCTAAGCGACCTTGAAGGATCAAAGCTATGAACTTATTTTGAATAGTGACAAACTAGGAAGTTCGATAATTTTATTTTATATTTATTTGTCGACGGTATATTAATTAAACTAAAATTATTATTGTGTTAAAATTTTTTGTTGGTTTAATTGAATTTGTATGTCGAATGATAAAATTTGTCTGTTAGTTGGAAACAAAAAAATTTTTTGTTTGGTATTGTTTTTAGCTAAAATTTTGTTTGTTTATTGAAAATTGTTTTTTAAGTGTAGAACAAAGAGTCATTTTTTATTTTTTGATTTGATTTTCGACAGGATCTTGCTCCGTCGAGAAAAATTGTTTTTGTATTTGATGGCGATTATTTTCGCTGAAATTTGTTTTAATTTTAATTTCGATGACCGTGAGTCAATTTTGAGGATTTTGTCATTGAAATTATTGAATGTTGTCAATTCAAGATCTTGCTCTTGTTGGCAAAAACCGTTTTGATATCTAAATCTTGTCTGGTTGTCAAAAAATTTTGTTTGTGTTAATGCAAAGCGTTTTTTATGTTGACGATGGCTCGATGCATGTTCGCAACGATTTTGAGTTTTTGCATTAAATTTTATTTTTGATAATCCAAGATCTTGCTCTTGTTGTCAAAATTTTTGTTGCTTTGTATTTTGACAATAAGACCTTTGTTTGTGTTAATGCAGAACATTGGTTATGTTGACGATGGCTCGATGCATGTTCGCAACAATTTTGAGTTTTTGCATTAATTTTTGTTTTGATAATTCAAGATCTTGCTCTTGTTGTCAAAAATTTTGTTGTTCTTGTTGTCGAGATTTTGTTTTTTGCTTTACATTTTGACAATGAGAACTTTGCTGTGTTAATACAAGACTGTTGTTATGTTGACGATGGCTCGATGCATGTTCGCAACGATTTTGAGTTTTTGTATTAATTTTAGTTTTGACAGTTCAGGATCTTGCTCTTGCTGTCAAAATTTTTGTTGCTCTTGTTATAAAGAGTAATTTGTGTTTTTTTTGTGATTCAAGATCTTGTTCTTGTCATAAAAAGTTGATTTTTTTTTGCTTTTTTCAAATAGAAATTGAATTTTTGTTGTCTTTATTATTGCTTATTTTGCATAAAAGTTTTTGTTTTGACAGCTAGATCTTGCTCTGCTGTTGGGTTTTTGTGCAAAGTAAAATTTATTTATTGAAAATTTTTTTCAGTTTTGTTGATATAAGATCTTGCTCTTGTCAACAAAATATTTGATCGTTTATAAAGATTATTTTGTATAAGTGCTGATGATTCAAGATCTTGCTCTTGTCATTGGTAATTTTGCTAAGTACAAATTTTTTTTAAACATTACAGAAACTTATTTTTTTATTGCCTGACGGTATGATCTTGCTCAG